ATCATCCCACCCTCAGTCCTAAAAACTCTGGAAACCCTGCAACAAAAAGTCATACCTGTGCCACGTGGTCAGCATTTGCACTCAGGACAGTTTTCAGACGATTGGCCTCCTTTAGTAGTTTGGCCATGGCCCGGGGATTCTTCCGGACATCTTTTGAGGGATGTTGATCATTAAAGAGCTTTGCCAAATAATCCCGGAGACGAAGCTCCATCTCTAAACCCCCAAGAGTACGGTCAAACCTGGGGAAAAAAAAAAAAAAAAAAAAGAACCAGGATATAATAAATTAAAACAAGTTGAAAGCAAACAAACCTCATCTATTATTTCACAGCTATGCCAAGCAGAAAGTGGTCAAAAATAGCTGAAGTACTATTAGCTGTGTCTGCAAAAGAATGACAGTTACTCCAAAAAGAACATATTACATAAGCCAAGAAAAGAAAGATTCACCACCACAGTAGCCATTGTACATGAAATTTCATCGTATGTATGGTAAAGGCCTTACTGCTAAGCCCAAACAGCTGAGAAGCCAAGGGATAACTGCGTCAGGTCCCAGGTATTTTACCAAAAACAGCAGTATAAAACTGTTTTCAGTGTTAAAATTGCTGAGCTGGGTATCTACAGCACCCCCCTCCTTATTTGGCAACATTTAACTGCAGTGCATTTTCGTTCCTCTCCAGAAGGATATTCCACTTTTTCAAACTGACACCCTCTACTTCTGTAAGATCTTATCAAATGGAATTACATTAAAATGGGTTGAGGCTGTATTTAAGAAGAAAAAAAAAAAAAGCCTGAAACAGACTAAGTAAACTGATTGCCTCCTGGGCTCCTGCAATTTCTCAGCTACCTTCTGCAGTGATGTAAGAATTATTAATAACTGTAGTCTTCTCACTCTACATCCTTCCCAGTTTATGATCCAAATTACCATGCTGAAGTCTCATTCAAACTTTCTATGTTTAGAAGAGACTGTGAAACAAATGATTTCTTTCCTGAGACCTTCAGGTTTTGTGCAACTCATGTTGAATTCTTACCCAATGCCCTGGATCTGCAATTGAGGTTGGGTTCCCGAGTCCTTAGTTTTCACTGTCTGATACGTAACAATAGTACAAACGGTGCTTCCTGCTCCCATGTCGTAAAACATGATATTCTGAAAAGAGAAGCTGGGACGGTGAAGCAGAAACACTTGGATATCCCCCATGAATAAGGAAAGAACACGTGGCTTTCCAAGTCTGATACAGGCCAAGACTTATGTCTGTTCCCTAGACTGGCTTTATACCACATGAGAGATGCAGGACTCGTACCTCGATCGAACTAAGGAGATGTGCAGGGTCATGCCTTACACAAAAAAGACTTTTTACAAAGAAAAAACTTTTTAACCCATTTTGTAAATCAGAAATCAGAACTTTGCTCTTTAAAAGTTTCTTAAACCTCAGGAAAATCAACTATTTCAGAGTCAGTCTTCCAATACGTTAAAAAAAAAAACAAACAAAAAAACCACCTAATGTTACTCCCCACCAGCTGATGGGCAAGGAACACACACTTCTTCAAGATGGGAACTTCCAGCTACCTGGCCTTTACTCCAGAAGCTCTAAGGCTTTTAGTGCTCTACCACATTCACACAGGATTTCATATCTTCATCGTGTTGATGAACACATGAAAACAGAGGAGACTGGCTGAGCAGCAAGTCCACTTCCTCATGGTTAAGGCCTTTTTGATTTTATCTGCAGCACTTTCTCCCCTGCACGCACGCACTTGCATGGGACCATCTCCCAGCTACACCTACCTGTGCTGTGGCATTGATGTCTTTCCTCCTAAAAACTCCGTAATTCAATGCTACAGCAGTGTTGTCATTGATCAGCTGCAGAACCTTCAAGTCAGCCATGCGAGCAGCATGCAGGACTGCCCTCCTCTCCGCCTGGTTGAAGTAGGCGGGAACAGTGATTACCGCATCCTTGATGGGTTGTTCTGAAAGAGATGGTGGAAGAAGTTTTTCCATCAGACTAGCCACATGCAAAGACAACATAATGGAGTGATGATAGCAAAAACAGAGAATGCAAGCTGAAGACACCTACATAACTCAATCCCGAAGCAACATCAGCAGCTAGCATCATTAGAGATTGCTCCGTTCCCTGTTTAAATCAGACTTTTCAGATTCTCATAAAGCCACAAGTCTACTGCTTGGCTTTCATGTGCTAAAATAATCTCAAATGCCTTAACCTTCAGCAGATATGATCTCCATGGAACCTTACTTTATCAATGAATTGCATTCACTCTCCAGAGTAAAAAGCATTTGGACTGGCTCTGATGAATCAAACACCACACAGCTTCCCAGTAATATCACCAATGAAACATGTCAACCAAATTCACCTGTAATTTTCATTACTTAGTGATTTCACTACCATCACAGCACGGAAACATCTTGTTTCTAAGATGACCCAACATCCCATTCCTAAGAAGCCATGGGTTTTCCAGGCACCTTCTGTCTCTATTCACATTTTATAACACACAAACATATGCTAGTACTGTAAGAAACACATAAGTCCTTCCAACCTGCAAATTCCTCAGCCAGACCGCGTGAGTAGTTCAGGACCATACCAAGCATTTCCTCTGGAGAATACTGTACCGTCCTACAAGAAAAAGAGAAGAAAGGAAGTTACAACAACAGAGTCAGCTACATAAGCCCAACAGCAAAAGTCCCACTCACGAGGAACCCAGAAGCAGTCACTTACTGGGACAGCTTGAAGATAACCGTCTGTCTCTTTTCATCCTCCACAAGTTCATGTTCTGGGAACCGGGTCCGGTACAGCGCCACTTGGGGGTTATTGATCTGCTTACCCAGAAGATCCTGAAAGTACCTGAATGCCACCTTGGGGGTCCTTATAGACTAGAGAAAGAAAGAAGAAATCACCCAGCTGCATAAGAAAGCAAGTACAGGGCAAGAAATAAAACTTCCTCTTAATTTAGATACTTCTCATGAAGGACCCAGCTGTGGGAAGACACCTTCTTGTGTACATGAACTGCAGCTGGCATAAGAAGCAAGGTGAACTCTTACCATTCCTAGTGCGCTATCACCAAAGAGACGTTCATTTTCCTTCAAAGCAACAGCCACAGGTGTTTTCCTTCGCGATTCCCTAGACAGGAAAAAAAACAGCAACGCGGGTGAACGTTCAATACAGAGGTCCTGGTGACAAAGGGTAGCGATTCCCTTCCAGAAAGGCTAGAAGAAGATTCTCAGACACCACCTACAGTGAGGAAGACCAGCTCTACTAATCGAAAGAGCTGCAAATAGCAGCAGCTCTCTTCAGAACTTTCAGATCCTCCAATGTTCTCCATGACAAGCGCAACTACTGTGCTTGACTGAAACGTGGACAGTAATCTTTCAAAGGAACAGCTGAAGTTGTGGAGTTCTGCAATTTTTCCCATAGCACTAAACTACTCCACAAGAGATGAATCATTTCTGCTACAGATCCAAGTATGAAAACACCAAGATGAGGATTTTGTTACGATAACTATCAAATGACTTTAAGTTGTCCACTAAGTTCATAAATACTTCTGCAAGCTACCCACTTCTGGATACCTTGTAACATGCCAGCAGTTTTCTATCATAAAGCTACAACAAAGTGACTTGACATGAAGAAAAACTCACAAGCAATGTTCTAGAATGTGCTACTTTGTAATTAGACAAAACTTGCATAATTTTTTGCTTCCCTCCACCAATGAGGGAATCAAGTCAGTTCGCTCATTCTGTCAATGACTGCCCCGTTTCAGGGAGCTAGGTGAAAAACACACTACCTGAGTCTAGACTCCTGGAAAGCAAGGATGTTCCGGGTCAAAGATCATCTCCCATCCATGCCTTTTCCATTCAGTGTCTTGGGGACCGGTGGCAGCAACAGCAGCCAAGTGAAAGATGATGAAAGATTTGCCTCATAAGTGACTGGTGGTTCTGAGCAGCACCACAAACCTACCTTCACCTTCCATTATGGAGAGCTGAGAATCTGGCTTCTTAATAGTATATGCAGGAACGTCACCCTACACCCTCTCACATCTGCACGATGATGTGTTCTCAGTTACACAGACATTGGGTCGCTGGCTTAAAAGGGGCACGAAGCACAACTCGGCACCCCTAAGATGAGGGTGAAGGCCAACCTGCTGCCCTGGTGCTCAGGGCTGCACTCAGGCAGCCCTCAATCAGGCAGCAGGGATGGATGTTCCTCACTCAGCGCCGAAACACAGCGCACTGACCCCTCCACCTCCCAAAATTTGGCCTCCTGTCGGTGCCTGCATGACCCCGGAGGCCCCTTTAGGAACACCCCCAGGCGGTACCGGCAGCACGGGGCTGGCTGAGGGCAGCGCCGCTTACTTGTTGAGGACGATCTCCATCGGCACGCCGGGCTTCACGATGGCGATCTTCATGGACTCGCTGCCCACGTCCACCGACATCACGGCCAGGGGCTCTGCGGCAGGCGGGGGGGGGGGGGGGAAGCGCCGGTGAACAACCCCAGGGCCGGGCCGGGCCTGGCTGGGCCCTGACCCCCCTCAGGGCGCTCCCAGGCCCCGAACCCCACCGGGATCCCCCCGGGGCCGCCCCCCGTGAAACCCCCGGCCCCGCACCCGTCACCTACCGGCCCGCAGGAGGAGGCAGGCGAGCAGCAGCCAGCCCAGCGCCCAGCAGGGCGCCCGCGCCATGTCCCCACCGCCCCTCACGGCCCCTCACGGCCCGGCCCCCGCCGCCGCCGCCGCCTCAGCGCCCGCGGCCCCGCGCCTCACGCAACGCCCGTGCCGGACGCGGCGGCCGCTGATTGGCCAATCAGGCGGCCCGCGCGCTCCCATTGGGCCACGTCGCGAGGCGGGAGGTGGGAGGTGAAGCCACGTGCGGCCCGCCCGGCCCGACAGCGCCCCCTAGCGGCCTGGAGGCGCGTTGCAATGGAGAGGGGGAGGGAACCCCTCCCCTCCCCCTCCCTCCCCTCCCTTCCCGCCCCATTGGGTCTGACACGTTTGCAGCCAAATTGTTTTGAAAAAGTCGACGTTAAAAAAACAGAACACACAAACACAGCCCCGGCTCCTCGAGGGTCCCCGGAATCTCCTCCCTTCACCCCACCAAAGCCCTCAGCTCATGAACTGCGTGTAGCCCTCGGCCCCCGTGACGATGACGTCCATCCAGATGCGCATGGCCTCGGCCGACGGGGCCACCACGTAGTAGAGGCGGTCGTGGGTCTTCACGCAGAACGTCAGCGCCGGGTTAGGGGCTCTGTGGGGACGGAGCACGGTCAGGGGCCGCCTGCGGGGCCACCCCGAGCCCCAACTGCACCCCCAGCCCCACAGCTGGCCCCTGGTCCTCAGGGGGTCGTGTTGGAGCCCACCCTCTTTAATATCTCTTATCGATGACTTGGGCGAGGGAGTTGGCACCCTCAGTAGGCACTGAGCTGTGGGGAAGTGTCAGTGCGATGGGCAGAGGCCAAGGGGTGAGGTTCAACGTGGCTCAGTGCCGGGTCCGGCACTCAGGGGCACAGCAACCCCATGCAGGGCTACAGGCTGGGAGGCTGTGCAAAGGAAAAAGACCTCGGGGTGGTGGTTGATGTGTGCCTGAACACGAGCCAGCAGTGTGCCCAGGTGGCCAAGAAGGCCAACAGCATCCTGGTTGTGTCAGGAATGGTGCAATCAGCGCCCCAGGGAGGCGATCATCCCCTGTGCTCTGCTCTGGTGAGGCCGTGCTGTGCTCAGCTTTGGGCCCCTCACTACCAGAAGGACATCGAGGGCCTGGAGTGTGGCCAGAGCACGGCTACGGAGCTGGGGAAGGGCCTGGGACACACATCCTGTGAGGTGTTTAGTCTGGAGAGGAGGATGCTCAGGGCAGACCCCATTGCTCCCTCCATCTACCCAAAAGGAAGGTGTGAGGAGCTGGGGCTCAGCCTCTTCTCGCAGATAACCAGTGATAGGAGTAGAGGGAATGGCCTCAAGTTGCACCAGGGGAGGTTCAGGGTGGAAATGAGGAGACATTTCTGCTCACAAAGAGTGGTCAGGTGTTGGGACGGGTTGCCCAGGGAGGTGGTGGAGTCACCATCCTGGGGGTGTTCAAGGAGAGGTTGGATGTGGTGCTTGGGGACATGGCTTAGTGGTGACAGTGGTGGTAGGACCAGGTGATCCTGGAGGGCTTCTCCAAGCCTAATGATTCTGTGATTCTGTGAATCTGTGCGATTCAGCCCGCACAGATCACCCAGGGCATCCTCTGCACGGAGCTGCTGAGGGCACGGCCTGACGGCGGTGCCCAGCTCTCACCTTAGCGGCGCTGCGGAGGTGGTCGTAGTAAACCTCTTCGATGGCTTGGAAGTAGATGACGCCCTTCAGCTTTGTCTCGTGTTTATCTGCCCGAGGGAGGGAAGCGGTGTCAGCTGTGGTGCATGAGGAGGGGACAGGCAAAATGTGTGGGGCAGGGGAGCCTGGAGCCATGCAGCCACCACGCTGGAGCAGGACTGGCCACATTTGTTCCCTCCAGGCAACACAGGCACTCACCCACGTAGTAGGAGAGCGTGCGCTTCATGCGGTCGAAGACAAACCAGCGTTTCTTCCAAGACTTTATCTTGCCCCCCATCTTAACCAGGTAGCCCTTGCACATCTTCTCTGTCAGGATGACATGGTAGCAGGTGTCCACGCTGTGCCCTGAGGACTCGATGTGCAGCCGCAGGTCAAAATCCTCCTTGCGGATGGGGAGGTACCGTGTCAGGGGCCGGGCCTGGGGAAGCAACGCTGCTTTGCAAACCCTGCTGCACGAGCACCACAGCGAGAGCCGCGCGCCCACCAGCAAAACCAAGCCCAAACTGGCATCCTCCCGCTGGGGAGAGGGGCTCCAGCAGCCCAAAAGTGCTGGGAGCTGCGGCCCCGAGCCCCACACCTGTGAGAAGTGTTTCTCCCGCAGCTTGACCTCCTTCTCCACCAGCTTCTGCCGGCGTGTGGTCTCGTCCTGCAGCCGGCGCTCCAGCTGCTCCCGGCGCCGCCGCTCGTCCTCCAGCGCCTGCCGCCGCAGCTCCATCTCCCGTTCCTGCAGGCACAGAGGTGCTCAGCCCCACTGGTTCGGGGACCCAGCCCGTGCTCTCAGCCCCCAGCCTGCTCCCAGGGATGCGTTTGCTCACCCGGGACTCCATGAGCCGCGACTTCTCGGCGTGCGCCTCCTTCAGCATCTTCTCCATCTCCTCGATCTTTCCTGCGTCCATCCCGCTCGTGCTGCAAGAGGAGCACGGCCGTCACCTGGGCACTGGACAGCTCAGTCTTGCCCATGACCAAGTGCCACCTAGCCGACAGCACCCAGGACAGGAGTGCTCAGGCCCTGGGCTGCTATGCAGTGCTGGTTCTGCTGCCTGCCTGCACCAGGGGCTGTCTCAGCACAACCAGCTGCTGGATGCGGTGGCAAAGCCCCCCTATGCTTGGACGGGGCGAGGACAGGGCCTGGCACATTCTGCCAGACACCCCAAGGACCAACCCCGGAGAGCTGATGCTGGGGGAGGCCGTGGGTGAGCGTGGGATGAAGGATGGTGCCATGGAGGTGTGGCAGCAAACAGCTCATGGCAGGAGGCTCCCGTGCAGCACTCGAGCCCCTCCCAGCACAGCCTCAACACCAGCAAACCCCTCCCAGCCCCTCTGTGGGGATGGCGCCTGCATCTCGGGGCAGCAGCAGGCTGGGAAGGGCGTCCTGGCTCACCAGGCAGCTAAAAAAACCTCTGGCAAGGGCTCCAGGCTGAGCTGGACGCAAAGCCTGCACCCCTCCGGCTGCTCAGCCTGGGGCTAGGAGCCAGCCCCAGGATTACCTGGACATGTTATCGGGTGAGCAGGCCGAGTTGGTGCCCGTGGAGATGCTGGTCTCCATGCTGTCCGAGCTCTCCAGGCTGAGGGTGTCGTACGCGTGGTCCAGCTCCTCAGCCCGGGGCCCCACGCTGTGGGCATGGTGGTGATGGAGGATGGAGTGATGCATGAGCGGGGGGTAGGAGGTGGGGAAGGGGGGCTGCCCGTGCAGGGCTTCCCACTGGGACTGAGCCTCGGCTGCCGCTTTCTGCTTCAGCTCTGCCAGGCGCCGCTTCTGCTCCTCGATCACCTGCTGACCTGCACCCCGGGAAGAAGGAGAGAGGCAGGTCAGCGGGCAGGAGTGAGCCAGCAGGCTCTGCTGCCTGAGCCCATGGGGGCACAGAAGCCGCTGCGATGGAGCACCGCGCTCAGAGCCCCGCTTTGGGGCTGTCCCTGAGAGCAGGGCTCTGTCCAGCCCTGCTGCAGCACCGTGCCCTGCTCAACGCTGCACGCAGGACACACACAGACCCTGGTGAGCAGGTCAGCAGCCCTGGGAGCACCACCGGAGTTGCAGGGGGAACAGGGATAAACGGAGGCAGGAGCTGGAGCCATGACTCCAGGCTGGGCACAGCAAGTGCCCTGGGCAGCAGCATCCTTTGGGGAGGATTTGGGCTCAGAACCCAGCAGGAGGTGGCACCCTGGTGCCAACCCCAGCTCCGCAGGCGAGGGACTAGGCAGGGCTGACCCAGCTGCCATGTACCCAGCAGCTTCCCAGCCTGGCTCCCCCCTTCTCCAGGCGTGCTGGCACAGCCCTCCCGGGGGTGTAGGCACAGCCAGCTGCTCCTCCAGCCCATCAGTCTGGCGCAGAGCAGCCCACAGCAGCACACTCAGACACACACAACGGGGGCAGCCAAGGGGCACATGCGTCAGGCTGGGCAAAGCGCTGGGTGGGGAGCAGCGGGACCATGCTTGCCAAGCCCCCACGCCAGCTCCAGCACCCCAAAGCCTCGCCTCAGGGAGCTCTGGCCTAAAAGAATGCCACGGATGGGGCTGTGGGTCCAGCTGGCAGCCCCTGAGGGATGCCCGCTCCTGCCCCTGCCCTCACAGGCACAAAAACCTCAGCACAGCACCAGGGGGACGGGGAGGCACCCACACACCCCAGGTGGATGCAGGTGCCCGGAGCGGCGAGCTTCTCCCAGCTCCTCTCGTGTGGAGCACCCATGGGGGGCATGGGGTTTGTCAGCGCCCTGGGGTCCTGGCTGGCCGTGCCCCCTCCCCATCCACGCAAAAAGGCACCAGCAAACAGCCATGCCGCCGCCTCGGGGGCCACTCGAGGCAGGTCCGAGCCACTCGTGTGTCTACCTGGTGCATCGCCTGGCTGCAAGGGCTCTGCCGAGAGCGGGTCGGCTGGAGGCACGCCGTCAGGTGGAGGGGTTGAGGGAAAGGGGGGAGAGAGAGGGGGAAAAGCAAGAGACCGTAAGAGAGGCGCCCGTGTCCCGCTGCAGCCTCACCGCTGCCCCTGGCTGTGCCATCCACAGGGCTCCCACAGCCCCGGGCAGTCCCCGCTGCCCTCGGCCAGGCAGGAAAGGGACAGAGCCGGGTTCCTTCCTCTGCCAGGATGCACAAAGAGGCTGGAGCCCAGCCAGAGCCCGGCCCTGGGTGTTTGGGACGGGAGGCGCACCCCCGAGGAGCTTACCCTTCTGCTGCAGGGCCAGCTGGCGCTTGGTCTCGATGTCCTGCAGCGTGGCCGCCAGGTTGCGTGGCAAGCTGCCCGCGTGGCTCTGGGCGTGCGGGGGGCCCTGGGGCAGGACAAGAGGGTGAGCACAGGCCCTGTGACCCTGGAGCAGGGCTGGAGCTAGGCAGCAGCCCCCCAAAGGGCACGGCTCCCCCCTGCAGCCCTACCTTGGGCGAGGGGCTGCGCCCCAGCGCGGAGATGTTGAGCTGCGAGGATGACGGGGTGCTGCTCTTCATCCGAGGGGGGAGCGCGGCGCTGTCGCCCTCCAGTTTGGCACGGTAGACCTGGGCATGGAGGCACAGAGGTGAGGTGGGAACGGGGGCTCCAGCACCCAATTTTGAGCCCCCCCTGCCCTGGAGCCTTCCCCAGGCACCGCAGCTTTGCCCCACGCTGCCCCAAGGGACTTCAGGGGGGAGCAGGGCATTACCTGGAGAGACTTTTGAGAAGAGTGAGCTTTAGCTGGAAGCGGAGGAGGGGAAGAACAAGGAGAGAGAGGGGAGGAGGAGGTCTCAAAGCCAGCCATGACCTCCTGGTACCACTTCTCTAAATCAAGAGGCGGGAGCCACGCTGGGCCCCCTGGGAGCTGCTTCTCCATCTGAAGAGACATTGCACGAGACGGGAGGGAGGGAGGAACAGACGGACGGACAGAGAAACACAGTGAGAGGGACAAACGGAGAGAGAATGAGAGGTCAGAGCATCCCTGCCCCACCACCGGGGAGCAGGGCAGGAGGGGAGGTGCAGAGGGCCCCATGGTTCCCAGCTGAGCCCCAGCAGCTCCAGGACACCACGAGCTGGGCAAGGCTCAAGGCAGGTGCCACACGGGCAGCAGAGCGGCAAGCGAGGAGCTGAGCAGCCAAGGACAGCTTTTTGGAGGTTTTTGGGCTGCACAGCAGCGCGCCAGGCACCTCAACCCTCCCTGCATGTCCCCCGCAGCCTGCCAGCACCCCTCACCACCACGAGGGTGCTCAGGGGCAGAGGGAGGGAAACGGGACACAAACCTCTGAGGAGATGGAGGGAGAAGAGAGAGCCAGCACAGGAGGAGGAGGAGGAGGAGGAGGAGACGAAGGAGCTGGAGGGGCACGGCCCAGCGGGGAAGCGGCAGGGGCACAGACGCTGCACAGGATCCCCGAGAGCTGCTCAACGGTCACGTACTGGGCAGAGAGAAGCAAAGTGAGGTGGGAGAAGGGACTGTGGTGGGCACGGCTGGCCAGACAGGGACAGGCACAGAGGAGCAAGCAGCTGGCGATGGAGACGAGCCCCCAGAAGAGAGCTTAACATCCCCAGGAGGAAGGCCAGCTGGCGGGGATGACTGCTGCCAGTCCCCCCGGTGCTGCAGAGCACGGAGCAGGGACATCAGATGTCCCCTCTCCGGCCCCTCGTCTTGCCTCCAGCCCAGCCCAGGGGATGAAGCTCGGTCCCAACCTTCTCCGCATCCTCCTCACCCGGGAGCAGCGGCAGAGCCCGCAGGAGCCACGGGCACAGAGCTGAGCCCCTCGCCCCCTGCTCTGCCCCCGAGCCTCTCTCCAGCCCCAGCTCGGGGACGGGGTCACTCCCCTCCCTCCTCCTGCTCAGCTGCAGCGAGAGAAATCCCCCAGCCTAGCGGAGAGGCAAGCTCTGAGCACCAGACACAGGAGGCGGCCGCGCAGCCAGCCCGCTGCAGCTTCGCTTCCCGCAGTGCTGCCCAGGACGCAGAGCGGGGCAGCCCCTGAAGGCAACCCGAGCATGCTCTGGGGCGGGTACCTCGTTGGCTGCAGAGGGCACAGCAAGCAAGAAAGAGCGCTGAGCAGCAGCAGGGGCAGCAGCAGAAGCTTTAGTGTCCAGGCTGGAGCCATAGGCATTGCTGTAGAACCTGAAAACGTCAGACAGCCTCATGTACTCCTAGAAATCCACAGTGGGGGAGAAGGAGGAGAGTTAGAGCCATGTGCTGGCTTCACGGCACGGACTGCAACGCGGGAGAAAACCTCCCCATGCACACACACACACCCCGCCACCACCACCACCAGCCCTTCCCTGCCAGCAAGCGGGGCCAGGAGCCCCAGCACATCACCTCTGCTGCCTCAGGTGCAGCAGCACTGGGGATAGAGGGCTCTGTCCTGCACTGCCAAGGCTCCCAGCACCCTGAACCCAGGGTCCCCAAGGTCCCAAGCCTGGTTGCAAGCCCCCCGTGGTGAGGCAGCACTGGAGGAGGTGCCTCGGGCTGCTCTGGCACCAGCCCAGGCATGGGGCTGGGGCTGAAAGCAGCACCCCTGGGAGCCTCCCTCCCCACACAACCCTGCAGCCGCCCTCCCCGTGCCACTGCCAGCAGCAGCAGGGCAATCTGGAGCAGGGGAGGCCCTGTAGGGCACAGCCCGGTGCCACTGCCCGCAGGAGAGCTGGGCACCCACTGGGAAGCCTCACACATGCAGCAGCCTCGCCACAGCCTTTCCCTCGAGGCTTAGGCACTGGCAGAAGTTCACGGTTAAAGTATCTCCTGTCAGACTGCTCAAAAGCCACTTCCTCACGCTGCCTGAACCAAACGTGTCAACGCAATGGGTTTTGGAAAGTCCGGCCACCAGACGGCCAGAATGGGGACACCCAGACCGTGCCACCACAGCCCGCTCTCGCAGGGCCTGGCTGCTACCCCAAGGGGCTGTCAGCCTCTGTAGGGGCTCTGGTGCCAGCAAGGGGACCCGGGCAGCAGCTCGGGCTGCCGGGCACGGAGCAGATGGGGTGAGCACACGAGCACGTGCGGCTGGGGCCATTACCTCTTGCGCCTTGGGGTAGGAGTGGGCAGGAGGAGAAGCTAAGGAGGCAGCTGCTCCTGGCAGGGGGCTCAGGGGCTTAGTTCCCTCTAACAGCTCATAAGGCTCTGAGATATGGAGGGTTTCCTGTGGGAGGGTAAAGATCACGTAGGCAAGGCGGGCACAGGCAGCAGGGACGCAGAGGCAGGAGCCGGCAGGCAGCAGGCTGTGACACGAGGGGACCCCGCTCTGCTGCATTCACCTCCCTCCCAGCCCCGTGATGGTTCCTGCAGCCCACAAATTGGCTCAGAGCAGCCTGGAGCACCCAGCTCTAGCCAGAAGGCATTGAGGAGCAGAGGAAGCGCTGCAGAGAAGAGCTTGCTGCGCACCAGGCTCATCCCCAGGGGTGGGGGCAGCTCTGGGGACGGTCCCCCCATCCTCCCAGTTACCTCTTTGAGTGCCGAGGGCATCTTGGGGAAGCTCCTGCCGCCTGTGACGAGCTGGTATCGCCTCTCCAGAGACACAAGCTTCTCCTTCTCCTGGGGCACAGGGTGACAGCAGGAAGGTTACCACCACCACCACCACACCGAGCCCATCCCCAAATACCAGCACCCGCTGCAGGAGGCGGCCAGATCCCGTCTCTCCACCCGTTCCCAAAGCACACCCGACACTTTGCACGCTCCAGCACCCACGTTACCTTCTGCAGGAGCTGCAGGACGCTGTTCCTCTCCCTGGCCAGGCGTTCAGCCTCCTGGGCGCTCTGCAGATGGATCTGGGCAGCCTGAGCATCCAGGGCAGCCACCCGGTCCTGGGGGACAAGCAGGGGTTGAGCCATTTTGGGGGGCGAAGAGAGGGGAGGAGGCTTGGCTGGGGGCAAGCTGCCTGCTGCCCCCCGTCCCTACCTTCCTGTGGGCGATGCTGCGGTGGTACTCAGCCCTGCTCTGCAGCAGCTGCTGGCTCCGTGTCTCGCGCTCCTCCTCGAGCCGGCTCTCCCTCTCCAGCTGCTGGAACTCCAGGTCCTCAAACAGCTTGGTCTCCGTCTCCAGGGCCTCCGCTTCCTTGGGACACACACAACGGGGCGGCTGCTCACTCCTTTGCCTCAGCGCGGAGGTGATGGAGGAGGCGCCAGGCACAGACCCCGCGGGATGAGGAGCTCAAAAGAGCTGGGAGCCAAGCCCAGAGCTCGTCTGGATCCGCTGCCCCCCGTGGGACCCCGTTCAGGCTGGGGCTGTGCCCTGCCAGGCTGTGGAGCCAAAACCAGCATGCACCACCAGCACCAGCACCACCAGCACCATGCGGGGAGCGCAGCAAGTGCCCCATCACCGAGCCCACGGCAGGCAGAGCCCACCACGGACCAACACCGTGCCAGACAAGCACCCTTGGGACCTCCCAGCCTCAAAGCAGTGGCAGCAGCACTCAGCTCACGGTCTGAAAACGCTGCCCCGGCAGCGCTCGCGCCGTGGGAACGCATTTCCCACACTTGGTGAGTGGGAAATTTGCTGCTCCAAAGCCACACGCGGCACAGAGGCAGCCCCTGGGGCTCCTGCATGCCAGGACCGCTGGTGCTGGGCCACCCCATCACGTCCTGGGCCACCGAGCATCCCTGCCTGCCACGCACCGTGGGCAGCACCCACTGTAACACATCCAACCTGGAAGGGTGCCACGAGCGGGCTGTGTGTGAGTGCTGCAGTGAGAACAGCTCTAGCCACAAGGGAGGGTCAGCAGCTACCGGAAAACACCAGATAATGGGAAAAAAATGCCGTGGACCGCCGCTAACATAAACCAACGGGCCTGTGTAAATAAATGCGCACAGGAAATAGCTGGGAGCAGACACGCAGGGACACGGAGCTCCCTGAGCTTCGCCCTGGGGACAGCACTTCAGGGGGATGGGCACCAGCTCCTGCGCACCCAGCACCAGCTCCCACAGCCAGACACACGGACGCAGCTCCGCCTGCACGCCCTGGAGATGCTCAGCATCCTGCCAGGATGGCCCTGGCGCAGGGCACATCCTCCTCTACAGCTCCCAGGGCAGACCCCGCTGCGAGCAGCTGAGCAAATCCCCAGGAGGGGACCCCACGCACTAGCTCGAGGCTTTGCCACAGGGCACGCAGCTCCTCCTGGCACCCTCGGGGCAGGATCCGTGCTCGTGCCCTGCCTGGTCCAGAGCACGCCGCGGGGCCAGGCGAGCGGCAAGCTTACCCGCACGGCGCCAGCCTCCTCCAGCCCCGGTGCGACGCTCTCAGTGTGGCCCCAGCTGCCAGGGAAGAGCTGGCCTAAGCTGGAGCGGAGGGAGGTGGGCCATGGTCCAGGAGGGGTGGGGGTGAGACACTGACCCTTCGCATCTGCTCCCGCAACTGCTCCCGCATAGACTCAGGGCAGTTATCAAGGTGGCTCTTCGACTCATTGTAAAGCGCCCGGAGTTTCTCTAGCTCCTTCCTTTCAGCATCAAGCTTTGCCCTTTCCTGAATCGGGGGAGAACAAAACAAACAAAAGAAAAAAAGAGAAAAAAAAAAAAAGAAAAAAAAAAGAGAGAAAACACTTCTCAAATCTGCGCCATGCAGAAGCTGCAGGATTAGAAAGTGGCTAAGCCAGAGGGGCACGTGGGGAGGAGCGCGGGGGCATTTACCAAGAGACTGAAAGAGCAAAAGCCACGGGAATCCCAGGCTGGGTGCTGTTACAGGGCTTACAACCAGCCCTGGACCTCAGGTTCATGTTTCTATGCCAAAGATTTAAGGGCAGTGAGAAGCTCAGCATTGACCTGGCTTTGCAGCACGGCTAAAGTCATCCCAGTCCTGCACGCTGCCTGGCACAGGGTGCCAGGAGCCCCAGCCACTGCCAGTGACCCCTGCCTTGGTGCGCAGCCAGCCTCGGGATAACCAGAGGCTCGTGCTCACGATGCTCAGGCAGAACCCAGCACACCGGCAATTAGCCAGAGCAGGTCCAACCTCTGGCTAGAGGCTGCCTCACAGAGCTCCTGCAGCACCACGCAGGGCTGAGCACCGTGAAAGTAACGCTTGTCCAAGCTGCTGAGCGCAGGAGAGCCAAAAAAGCAGCCAGGAGTCCCAGCTCCCTGTCTCAAGGATAAACCTGTGGCACACCGGACCCTGCGCACGCCGTGCTGCTGTGTGCTGTTAAAGCAAGGAGAGCCCTGTCCTCACTGGGACACCGCTGAGAAACCCTGCAAACCCTTGCAAGCCTCGAAAGGAACGTTGCCCATCAATATTTTGTCTCAAGACCACGTTTCACAAGCATCCTCCACTCTCTTGGCTTCTGCAGTACTTGTCAGTGCTCAGAAGCCAGGTGATAACATCACATCGCCTCTAAACGTGCCCGTGTGGCCCCCGTCTGTGCCTGGCACTGGGCTGTCCCCACACTCTGCAGCCAGCCGTGCTCAGTGACAACAGCACCGGGGACACCAGCACACCGCTAGGACCCCGACCTGTGGCTCTCCCACCCGGAGATGTGTCCCTGGAGCTGGGGCAGGATCCCCCGGAGCAGCTCCCCTGCTCCCCACGGCGCAGGAGCACTGAACTGGGGCTCGCTCCTGGTGCAGACAGGAGGGAAGGCAGCACAGGAGGGATGTGGGGCGTGCTGCTGCCCCACGCTCCTGGGGGGCTGCCTGCGGGGTGAGCGCAGTGCCCAGGGCACCCATGGGCAGGGGAGGCTGCAGGGCAGGCAGGGGTGGCAGCAATTAGTGGCAGCGTTCGGAGCAGGCACGGTTAGAGAGAGTTAGTGCAGAGTGAGTAGGAAAGCAGGTGGTTGAGTCAGCAGAGACTCGGGGAGTGAGATTTCTTTCTGCTCCTCTCCTAGCTCCGCACAATGCTGCCTTTCACTAGAGAAGACATCTGCAAAGGGCTGGAAAATCAAAACCAAAACACAAGAACCGTAATGCCACGGGGGTCCCGTCACGACGTGCTCAGCCCCACACGGCTCCAGCTGCCCATGGGCACTGAGCAGCACAGGTTGGGCTCCCACAGCCACGACCCAGGGCTGCCCCAGGAGGGCAGGGACGCCAGCAGTGCTTCGTGGCGAGGGATGGCACCAGCAGACAGGGAGGGGATGGCACCAGCTTCAGGCAGCAGTGAGCTGGGCACCCACAAGAGCTGGAGACCCTGCGGCTGCCCCACAGGGCCAAGCCGAAAGCATCTCTGAAAGCTGCATCCTGCCCTCCCGCAGGGACCACAGCGGTTGCAGCGAACAACTCCAGGCCCAGGAAGGGAAGGGGCTTGGGCCAGTAGCCCACGCTGCACCCCAGGCCTCCTGGCAGCCACCGAGCTGGGTGAGGCACCCGCAAAGATTTCCTGGCCAAAGCTAGAAAATGTTGGGATGAGGGGGGCGCAGCCACCTCCAGCAAGACGGATGCTCCAGCGACACCAAACCTGCCACCAAGACCCAGCACAGCGCGTCCCCAGCGCCATCTCTGCCCTCCTCCAGCAAGGCTGGGGGACGCGGCACTGGTCCCAGACAGACAGGGGAGAGGAAAAGCCACCAGCCACCTCTTCCCCCTCCGCACAAGCACAGATGCTCCCCCTGTCCTTGAAAACGCCCGTGGTGACCCCACGGAGCTGACACTGCAGGTGTCACCGAATGGCCCAGCAGACCCCAGGGACAGGAGGACGTGTCCCCCAGGGGATAAATGCAGCCTGGGAGACCCCCCCAGGGTCAACTCCACTGGAGCTGGGAAGAACACAGCACAGCCCCAAAGGGACAGTCCCTGCCTCGGGGCTCACCTTGTCCCGCTCCTTCTGGATGCTGGCGTCCAGGCTGGAGAGCTTCTCCTGCAGCTGCTGCACCACCTCCTGCTCCTGCTGCAGCCGCACCGCCTCCGCCTCCCGCTCGCCCTGCAGCAGGGCCCGCTCCATCTCCGCCTGGGTGGGTACAGCCACATCAGCACCGCCCCACAGCCCCCGCTGCTGCCCTGCGCCCACTTGGGTCCTGCCGGGACCAGCAGCTCGAGGTCCATCTCAGATCACACGTGCCACCTGCGGGATCAGGTGCCCACCGGTGATGACAGGGTGAGTGAGACCCCAGCAGAGCTCCCCAGACCCTCACCTCTCGCAGCATCTCCTGCAGCTGTTGCTCCAGGTCCTTGACGTGGCCTTTCAGCTCGTCCAGGCGACTGAGCACGCAGGCTCGCTCCTCCTCCAGCCGCTGTGCCTCCTTGGCACGGGGACCCACCAGCTCCTCATGCTGCGGAGAGCGCGGGTCAGCACGGCACGGGACAGGCTGGCGTGGCACGGCACGGCACGGGCACCCCCATCCCCTCACCTCGTGGTGGGTGCTCTCGGTGCTGCTACACTCTTCTTTCAGGTTCTCCTCATCCGACCTCTCCAGGCTCTCCCTCTGCCGCAGCACGCCCAGCTCCTCGGGGGCACCCCTGGGTGCCTGCCGGCCAGCGTCCCCATCCCCGGCCAGGAGCCGGGGCGCATGGCTCAGCTCCGCGCCATCCGTCTTGGTGTACTCGGCGCAGAGGTTGAGGATGGTCTCCAGGCGCTGCCGCTCCTGCGGGGAGGCTCGGTTAGCACAGGCCCTGCAGCACCCAGTCCAGCCCACGCCACCGACACCAACACCGACCGCCTGCATCCCTGCCAGCACAGGAGCCTTGCTGCCCACCGTGCTTGGGGAGGGGTCCCAGCACCCATCCAGCACACGGGCTCTGCCCAGGACATCTGGGACCCAGTGGTCCCACTGCGGAGCATGTAAGGGAAAATGTTTTTTTTTGGGGAGCGCCAGCTCCATCATCTCATCACAGCCGTGCCAGGTGGGCTTCCCCTGGCTCTGGGGCTGTCGCCCACCTCGGCAGGTCCCAGCCACCCTGACAGCTCCATGCAGCTCCTGGCAGACCGTCAGCCCGTGGCGCATGTGATGTGCCTGGAGCTGGAGACAGGCTAATTACAGACAGCAGCCCCGGCCCAGCGCCACGCTGCCTCTGCATGCCGCACGGGGCTATTTCGAGGTGGTGATTCAGGCCGTCTGCACCCACCATGAGTCAGGGATGAGCCAACAGGGCTCCTGCTGCCCAGCCGGACGGGCACCGGGCACTGCTGCCACCCCGCAGCGCCCCAGCGGGGGTCCCAGCCAGCCCCCCGGGGAGGCACCCCCAGCACACAGAGCCCCAGAAGGCGCAGGCTGCACCTCCACGCCAGCCTGGTCCCCTCCCTGGGAAAACAAAGGCGGCGCTGCCAACAAAGGCACGCACAGCAGCGACGAGCATGGGTTGTCCTGGGCATGACACCGGGGAGGGGGGACACTCGTGTCCCCACACTGCGCCCCCCAGGTGGCTGAGCCAGGGAGCACCCTCCTGGCCCCACTGCCCCCTGCAACCCCTGGGTGCTCCAGGAGACCCCCTCAGCAGCAAAGAGAGACAGATGCACAGGGCAAGCCCCACCCAGGCAGCTGCTCGCTCTATAAAAACTCAATCCCCAGCCCTAAATATAGAGATGCAATGCCCACAGGAGCCTCCCAGCAGTTGCCAGCCAGGAACAGCATCTGCACACCACGCACAGGCAGCCACCACAGCCCGCCGAGAAGCCACAGCCCTGGCAGGGACTTCGCGACCCCAGAGGCACCAAAATTTACACGTCTGCAGCAGAAAGCAGCCGTGCACATCAGAACAATGCTGCTGCAGGCTGAGCCCGTGGCTTCCCTTGGCTGCCGCGAGCAGAAGGACTCGGCGCAAGGCAGCAGCTCCCACACAGCCCGGGGGCACCAACAGCCGCTCCCGGCCATAATCTCTCTGGATAAACTCGAGCCTGGGAGCCTGTTCACATCATTCATAAGCTGCTGTTAGCAACTGCAGCAAAATCCCCAGGAGAAAAAGCCTACATTTTAAAAACAGAAGCTCAAAGAGCACGCCCCGTGTCTCCAGCCCCTCAAAACCCCGGCTCGAACCCGCCGAGCCTGGGACAAGTCCCCCTTCCCCGTGGCAAGGAGCTGCCCCCCTGTGCCGCCGTGCTCACCAGGCGCTCCATCTCCTGCTCCCGCATCCGCTCCTCGCGCTGCCGCCGGTGGTACTCCAGCAGCTCGTCCTCGTTGTCGCTGATCTCGGTGATGCTGTTCTTGCGCTCCCGCACGCCCGTGGGCAGCCGCACGTCCCCCGACAGCTTCCTCTGGGCGCGGGGGCTCTGCCGGGGCGAGGGCATGGCCAGGGAGCCCAGGCTGTACGCGGGGCTCAGGCAGGAGCCGAAGCTGGGGCGGCGCGGGGACGGCTCTGCCAGCAGCGGAGACGAGGGGCTCCCAGCCCTGCTGCTCCTCCCTGCTGCAGGGCTCGGCTCCTCGTGGCCCTTGCGCCTGCTGCGGGGGCTCCCGGGAACCTCTCTGCCCAGCCTGGGCTGTGGGGAGGGGGTCTCCGGGGCTGCCCGGGGGCTGGCAGCCCGGCGGGACAAGGAGGGGCTCAGCGGGGGCAGCTCCCGCATGCTCTCCACAGTCCTGCGGGCTGCCCGCGGGCTCTCGGGGGGCTGCAGCCCTGCGGCTGCTCTGGCTGGTCCTGAAGCATCCGGGAGCACCCTGGCTGCGGGCTGCCGGGCGGGGCTGGGGGCTTGGGGGTCCCTGGGCTCCCTGAAGGGGCTGGGGGGCCGCTCTTGTAGGGCTGCCCGCGCCCGCGGCACCGAGGAGCCCAGAGGGGTCCTGGGGGTCAGCCGGGGGCTCCCGGAGGGCTGGGCGCGGGGGCTGCCTGCTCGGTGCTCCCCGAGGCCGATGGAAACGGGGGCCACGGGGGTGTCCGGGACGGCCTGCCAAGCTCGGGGGGGCTCTGCCAGCCGCGTTTCGCCGTGTCCCCCGTAGGGCAGCGCGGGCAGGCGCTGCGAGGGGGGCTGCACGGTGTGGTTGTAGCTGGAGGAGCGCAGCGGCACCACGGGGGGCACGGCCGGGCCCTGCTCCTGGCTGCTGGGCGAGTGGCTGGCGTAGCCCCCGCTGCTGGTGGGCGAGGAGAGAGGCGAGAAGGGCGGCGAGGCGTTCTCGTAGCTGGAGCCCCCCGAGGTGGCGCCGGGGCTCAGCGGGGGGGACAGGAGGCAGCGCCCACCCCCGTTCACCACGGAGGAGCAGAGCGGGGACGGGCCGCGGGGAGACGGCTTCTTGCCGGGGGACGCCGGCTCCTCCAGCACCAGCGAGTCCATGATGTCCTGCAGGTCCTTCTCGATGGAGCTCACCAGGGAGCTGTGGCTGGGCTGGGCGCGTTCCCCCGCCGCCAGCTCGTGCAGGGGCAGCGGGCGGCCGCCGTTCACCAGGGCCTCGGGCTCTGCAGGCAGACACGGGAGCGGGTTTCAGAGCAGGCTGAGGCCCCAAAACCACGGTGCCCCTTCCCCAGCCCCGCTTGGAGCCACCCTGCAAGACCTGCAGAGGGTCCGAGCCCCTCTGCCAAGCCCCCCGCCACCGCACGGACTGTCCCTGGGGACCCGGGGCCAGAAGACAGGCTGGCACCCAGCTGCTGTCCCACCGGCCCCATCTCCAGGGTAACAGAAACCCGATAGCTCTGCCTGGCCTCTGGTGAGGTGCCTGCCTCCAGGAGCCCCAGCACCGCTCCCCGGGGGGCTGCAGGCACCCGCCGTGATCCCAGGGGGCTGCCCGCTGCTCTGTGCCCTTCACATGTCACCGGCTGTGAGAGAACCCCACCAGCAGCATTTGGGAGCTGCTCTCTGGGCGGCCGGAGAGGCTCCTGGCACAACGGGCACAGGGCGCAGAGCCCGGCCTCTTGCAGAAAGCGATGGGATCGAGCAGCAGCCTCGTCTGCTCAGCAGCCCCGAGCTCACTTCATTTCATTAAATCCTCTCTGCCCACGGCACAAGGCTCCTGCCCTGTCTGCCTGCACAATCATTGCATGGGAGCACGCCGAGGGGCCCCGCGGCGCTGTCTCACGGAGCCACAGCTAACCAGGCGAGCAGCAGCCCGAAACACCAGCACCGGGAGGTGTTGAGGACACCCGAGAGGCCCTGCTGGGAGGGACACCACTGGTCCCACAGCCCAGGAGGAGCCCAGAGCAGCGGGCAGCATCCCTGCACGAGCAACCCAGTGCCACAGGGGCAGGGGGTGCGAGCAGGGACCACGTGGGGAGCAGCTGCGGGCAGTCACAGGACACTGTGGACACGGCAACTCCTTGTGTCCTTTCTCCCCGTCCCCCAGCTGCAGGGTCTGATGCCTTCCTGGCCCTCAGCACCGTGCACGTGGCACAGGGGAGGCTGCCAAGCTCCAAGCGCAGTGCCAGGGCATGCTGCTCGGGGCAGGGAGCGTGGCTGCCGGCCCCGGTACCGGGTTTCAGACACCTCCAGGCATCGATCTGCACCTGCAGCATCCCCAGCCTGGCACCGTGGAAGGAGCAGGGGCTGTGCCAGCACCAAGCAGGTCCCCGGCCTCCAGACAGACACAGGGAGATAAGGAGCTGGCTAGATTAAGCAGCACAGCCAGGGAAACGGCCTTCACAGCCTCCTCGTAGCCAGCCCTGAATGTAAACAGCAGCTCCCAGGCAGGGGGGGCGAGGGGTGCGCACCCCAGCACCCTGGCACCGACCGAGGGGTGAGAGCCCTGAGACCCCCCTGTGGTCAGGGGGACCCAGGCTCGGCAGAAACCAGGAGCTGTGCCTCGCTGCCCGTACAATTAAACGTTTCTCAGGCGCCATTAATAATTAACAGACATCAGCACAGACACCAGGCCGAGGCAACAGCGAGCGCAGGCACCACGGGGCATCTGGGGCTGGGTGCGAGCCCTGATCCGGACAGCATCAGCCTGGACCCCGCGGTGATGCTGGGTGAGCTCGGGCAGCTTCATCCCCTCCTGCCTCCCCGGAGCCCTGCCCGGGAGAACCCAAAACGAGGGCTGAGGAACAAACGCCTGCTGCAGGCAGCCTCGAGCCCTGCTGCCAGCTCCCCGGGGGGCTCGGGGACCCCCCTGACATCCCCAAACAGCCCTGCCTGGAAGCAGAGGGGTCACCTACTCGCTGGCAGCCCGTAGACGGCGGCGGGGCTCCTGCCCCCTGCCGGGATCATGCTCTTCATCCACTTGGCTTCAGCAGGGTGGTTGAAGCGCAGGAAGGTCGCCTGGCCCAGGCAGATGGTGCAACCTGCGGAGAGAGGGGGTGTCAGCTCCCCGGGGGTGCCAGCAGCACGGGGACAGCCGCCTGGGCACCCTTGGGTGACACTTTGGGGAGAGGAGAGACGGGAGCTGGCGAGGGCAGGCCAGGGGGCAGCGCCCGGCCGTGCTGCGCTCCCCAGGGTGGGATCGAGCCCTGCCGTCAGCACAGGCTCAGGGCAGGGCTGAAATCCAGGTCACTCCACGACTGGGCGCAGCATCTCGCGCAGCCACAGCTGGGGCCTGGGCCTCGGCGCTGCCGCGCGTCAGAGGGGGCTGGCCGTGCTCCAGCGCCGCCGCCAGCTGCAGACAAGACAGCTCCTGTCCACCGCTGCTCGGCCCAAACCGGGAGCTTTCGGAGGGAGGGAGGAGGAGGAGGAGGAATGCAGGGAGGGAAGCCAGGCTTGCACAGCCCAAGGGAACCGGCAGCAGAGGCTGCAGCAAGTCGCCGCCGAGCACAGGCGATGGATGGAGCTCAAAGAGCCCCAGTGGGGAAACGCTGCCAACACCTGCCCCGCAAGGGGCTGTAAAAGGTCCCTCGGCAGTAAAGACAACGGCATCCGGCAGCCACGGTGCCAAAGTCCCACACCCAGCCCAGGGTGCCTGGGAGCAGGCAGCACGCAGCCTTCTCAGCCACTGCTGCTGCTGCTGGGGAGCCCTGCGCTGGCGGAGCACGGCTGCTGCCGACACACCCCGCTTTGAAGCGCCTGCCAGAGCCCTGGGTAGAGGCTTGCTCCTCGCTGTCAGCCGCAGCCGAAAATCCCTTGCTGGAAGGGATGCATTTTTTGGAGCAGCTGAGCTGGCAGGCACAGACCTGGAGAGGAGCAGCAGGCTCAGCCCCAGCCCTGCCAGCGCAGAGGGTCCGGAGGGAAGGGAGCTGGGCTGGGAAATCCCCGGGCAGGGGTCCCCAGGGGCTGCACCCTGCCTGCCCAGCGGGGACACCAGCTCTGGGGGCTTAGCTCTGGGTGGCGTGGATCACCCGGGTGAGGGCCACCTCCCAAACTCTACGTTAGCTGGCACGGCCACCGCTCACCAACGCCCACCAAGCTCCCACCCTGCTGCGCCCTGCACCTTCCCCATGCCTGCCGCCGAGCCCCCCGCAAGGCAGGAGGGAACAAAGGGACAGCGTGCGGCCACCCGGCACCCACCGGCACGGCAAAGCCCCAGCACCCCTCTCCATCGCCCCCCAGACCCCTTCTTCATCCCGTGGCGGGGCTCTCACCATGCCCAGCCCAGGGTCCCCCCCTCGAAGCCCCCAGCCGCCCCCCGAGAGGGCAGCGAGGGGAGGCGCAGGGCATCCCCCCCGGGCAGCAAAAATCCTCCAGCTAAAACAGGAACGAGTCCCGTGCTGGCTGAAAACCCGGACAGCCCCACGGCACTGCCCCGGGGGGGTCTGGACGAGCTCCCCCCGGCTCCCCCCAGCCCAGCTCCGGGCCTTTGTGCGGCTCCCCCCGGCTCCAGCAGCGGCTCGGGGAAATCAGCGCCGCTCCCGGGGAGAGCAGGAGCCGGATTTCTGCCCCCGGCGCAACCCGACACCGCGGGCGATGAATGAGATGGCGGCCGGAGAAGGGAAGGGAGCAGCCCCGGGGGCCGTGGGGGGGGAACCGAGCTGCCCGGAGCCGACCCCAGCGAATCTCCGGGGGGCGCCGGCAGCCCCGGGGCCGCCGAACAAAGCCCGGTGGCGGCGGTGCCGGCCCCGGAGCGAGCGCAGGCCGGTCCCGGTGCCCGGTGCCCGACCGCCCCCTCGGTGCCCACCGGCTCCCAACCCCCCGGTGCCTCGTCCGCGGCTCCCCCCGCACTCACCGCGGAGCCCCCGCCGTGCCCCAGCCGCCCGCAGGCCACGGAGCCGCCGCCGCCGCCGCCGCCCCGGCAGCGGGGGCCGCGCACCGGGAGCGCCCCGGGACCGCCCCGGGGAGGAGCCGCGCGGGAGGGGCACGGGCGGTGCTCGCCGCCGCCGCACGGACACACGGCTCCTTTCGTGCCCCGGGGGCTGCGGGCACAAAAAGCGGCTCCCGAGCGCCGGGGGAAAGAGCCACGGAGGCTGAGAGCCTTGGTGGAGCCGCTCCGGAGCCCCGGCTCCTCCCCGCGGTGCCAGGAGCACGCAGCCTGCAGGCAGTGGGGTGGGGGGACAGAGGGGTCCCCAACCACGCAGGGACCCTCTGAGCACCCAGCTCCTTCGGGAAAGGTCCCCGCTGAGGGATGTGGCTTAGCAGATGGTGCTGGTGGAGATCTTGGAGATCTTTTCCAACCTCTCAGCCTGTGTGCCCCCAGCACCAGGTCACACGATAACGTTCATTTTGGGCAAAAAAACCTCCCAGATGGTGCCAGCACCCCGGCACAGCCCCAGCCAGGAGCTGCTACAACAGGATGAGCAGTGGCAGGATGGCTCCGGAGAGACCTCCAGCATCTGATGGCACAAACCCTGCCCACCAGGGCCAGCTCCTGCCCTGGAGCTGCCCAAACCCATCTCCGCGGCACAGCCCTACCTTGGGTGAGGCGCGTGGGCCGCTGGATCTTTACTCCATCGATGGCGCAGGCGTTGCCACAGGGGTGCAGGGTGAGCGTGCCCCGCGTGTTCTCGATGTAGCAGTGCTCAGGAGCCAGCCCAGGGCCCTGCAGGACGATGTCCTTCGCAGCCGTGCCGATCGTGGTCCTCCCTGCCAGGAGAGAGGCTGAGCGCTCCTCCTGCTGCCCACGGGGACCCCGAAAAGCCACCGCAGGCAGCCGTATGGGGTGATCCTACATGCAGGAGGCCAGGCCAGCAGCCAGCACTCACCTTCCTCCAGGGGCAGCAGGGTGATGGCAGTGCTCAGGCGGCCGCTGCCCAGGCTCACCAAGTGGGGCTTCTCCGTCTGCACCTTCAGCCCCTTGCCCGTGTCGATCAGGTCCAGGGGGCTGTTCTGCAGGGGACAAAGGAGGGGTCAGGGCTGCCTGCAGCACCCCGTGAGCCCCGCAAAGCTGGGCAGGGAGGGGGCTGACCCAGAGCCCGGGGCTCCTTCCCACCCTGCTGCCAGACCCACATCAGGTCCGCAGGGGGGATCCTTGGGGCTTGGGCTCCATCTAAGAGGATCCGAGCCAGCAGCCACTTAGCACAATTGGCTTTGCGCTGATCCCATAACAGGATTGGGTTGAGGAGAGGCCAGAGGGTAGCATCACAGCGGGGCTGGCACCGAGGAGAAGGGCTCCCACCACATCCCTGCGCTGTCAGGGGCTCGGCACTGCTGTCACAGCTGGGTTTTGTGTCCCCTCACCACCCCCGGTGCCACCGAGTCGGGGCCCTGCCGTGTGCTTGGGCGGTGTGGGAAGGGCTCGGCTCCCTCCACCCCGTGCACTCACCTGGATGATGGTCTGCACCCTGCGGGTTGGGCTGGCGGCGCTCCTGCTGGGTGCCTCCATGGTGCCTGCACGCAGGCTCCTGGCGATACCAGGCACGGGCTGGGAGAAACGGAGCTGTCAGCAGGGGCAGCTGTGCCACGACCGCCAGCACAGGGCCCCGGCTGTGCTGCGGGGCTCCCTGCGCTCTGTTCCCATTTCTGGCCCTGCGCTCGCTCCCCAAAGCTGGTGAGCATCCCTGCCCAGCAGGACGCAAGCTCCAGCTCACCCAGGAAACCCCCACGCACGCACCAAGCACAGGAAGAAGCCGTCAGGCTGTGGGTAGCGGCTCTCCCAGGAACAGGGGTGTGCGGGGGCTCCCCACATACTGCCCACACCCCCCCCCAGCCCTCCCACCCCATTTGCCATGCCGGTGTGTGATGCATGGGCATGGCAAATAAGCCAGTGGCCACCGTGCTGCCAGCCGGGGTGGCCACCCAGTGCCTTCACAGGGAGGAACCCGGTGCCGGGGGGCAGTGATTTCCCTCAGCCGGCGCTCACGCCACTTGTTGCGCAGGGACGGACACGGGACGGGATGCTCTGGGGTTACTAAATTTACCATTCTTGGTTCCCTGTGTCCCTTCCTTCCGCCCCGGCCTGGCTGCTTGTGGCTTAACCCTTCAGCTGAACCCTTCCTGGCCACGCTGGCCCCACTGTGGGCGAGCACAGCAGGGGAGTGGGCTCACCCTGGTGGGGATCCCAGCCCGGGGCCAGCTGCTGCTCACAGGTAACAAAATCCTCTCCCTCCCAACCCCTGCACAGCAGCCAGGGTGTGCCGGGCATGGGGACAAGCCCCGGGGTTGGCTCCGTGCAGCAGCCCTGCCCCAGCATCACCCCCGGCCCCCGCGTCCCGCCGGGCGAGGGACAGCGCTCCCCACCCCGCCAGCACCGCGCGCAGCTGCGGGGGCGAGCGGGTGGCTATTACACACTGCGGAAAAAATGAAATGCTGGAAAACAGCAGGCGTCGGATCCAGGGCTGGGACGGAGCCCAGACCACTCCGCTCGACATGAGGGCTGGCTGCCCCGAAGCCACAGCCCAATGGGGCTGCGGGCACCCCGTGCGGGATAGGGGCTGGTGAGGGGCTCCGAAAAGCCCGCGGGCAGCTCCCCAGCAGTGCCCGGGTACCTGGTGCCCACCAGGCGTGGATGTGGCCCCCCCTCTGCCTTCCCTTACCTGCCACCCCGTCCTGGTGCGGGTGCTGAGCGGGAGCCTCCGTGGCAGAGTCCCCGCAGCCCCCACAAGCTGCCGGGGCCGGCAGCTGCTGCCCGCCCGCGGGTGGACCACGCTCCCCAGCATTTTAAGAGCCCGTGGCCTGCCCGAACCCCTTCTCCTCACCAACACCGAGGCCCCACAACAACGTCCGGAGGAAAAGCCAGCGAGGGGCCGGGCTCCTGCATAGGAAGGGAGCGGAGCCAGGGTGGGATCCTGTGCGGGCGTTAACCCCTTCCCCACGCGGTGATCCCCAACGTGCATCACCGAGGGCAAGAAACGGGGGAGCTCCAGCCCCACTGTCCAGCCCGCAGCTCAGCACCCTTTCTGGGGCATATCCCCATCCTGCCCACGTCCTGCTGCCTGATCTTACTCAACCCTGGTGTCTTCTGCTCCATCACCCACGGCTGGGACGAGGACCCCACTGTCAGCTCCAGCGCACCCCTGATGCCCACCCTGCTTCGTGCCAGCCCCCCCACCCGCTCCTCACCGTGCCGGAGATGCTGCCAGTCCCCGCGGCGCTGGGTGCAGCGGGGCGCCCGCAGCAGTCCCCCGTGTCCTGGCTCCCCTGCACAGCCCCGCACAAGCAGGCTCTGTCAGAGGAATGCGGGGCGGGAGCGTGGCCGCCCCGGCCGGCGCCCCACCTCTGGCGCGGACAAGGCCGCCTTTCTTCTCTCTGCTGCAAGCCTGCAAAACACGCTGCTTGTTCCCGCCGTGGGAAGAGGCAAAGGCAGCAAATGCCAAGGGGTCGGGCTCAGTTACCGGCAAATAGCAAGCGGTCCCCATGCCCCCCGCGTGCAGGGCCGCTCGCGGGCTGGCGGCTCCTTCCGTGACTCCTGGAGCCGAGGGAAGACAAAAGCCCCTTTCTTCTCCGGGCAGGGCAGGGGCCTCACCTGGGAGGACGCCGAGCCCTGTGGCCCCTCGCTGCCCACTCAGCCCCGCCACAACTGCAGGGTGCTGCTGCCCCCCCAACCACTCGCTTATAGGGCCGTGGGGAGCCCCAGCACCCGGCTGGGAGCGCAGCGGGGCTGAGCCCTGCCTGCTCGGGGGCACCCTGCTGCTCCCACCTGCCCTGTCCTGTGGGGCTGGACACCAACCACCAGCCCATTCAGTGGCCAAAACCTGCCCAGAGCTGCGTGCTGGGGCAGCACAGAGCTTGGTGTGGGGAGGGGACACAGCCAGGGAGCAGCAGGGACACGCTGACACCGGGCTGTCACCGCACTGCGCTCTGCCCGTCCCCTGCTGCCGCCTGCAGTGCCAGCAGTGCCTGAGAGCACGGGGACAGGCACCGGGTAGCTCTGCCGTGTCCCCCCCATCCTGGGGAAGCCAGGAGGAGCCCCTCGTCACAGCTGGGCGCAGCGCAGTGTCCTGCAGCGTGGCCTTTCCCCGCTCCCAGCTGCTCGGATGAGTCAGGGAGGAAGCGGCGCGGCCGAGCTCCGGGGCGAGCACGCAGCGTCCACAACCTCCATCCAACTTGGCCGCCGGCTCCTTCCCCATCTGCTAAGGCACTTAGAGCGCTCTCACCCCTTCCCACACCCTCTGCCCCAGCAAACATGCAAACAACAGCCTCTCCTTGCGCAGCTGGGGAAGGGGGAAGCGCGTCTGCAGCACAGGGCTGGGGGAAGGAGCTCGGGGCCCAGTGGGGGAGGCTGCTCCCTGCCCCGAGCTGCCCCACAGCACCAGGGCCTGGGTTCAGCGCAAGGCTTGGATGTGGGCAGAGCTGGAATAAATGCAGGAGAGGAAGGCAGCGCACCCAGGGAACCCCAAAAATAACGCACGGTCCCCACGCAGGGCAGGGGGGATGCTCCTGCCGCTCGTCCCACACGAGGAGGGGGCGCAGAGGCTGCGCCTGCAGTTGCTGGGGCAACACAACGCACCCGGCAAAAACACCAGGAAAATCAGCTGCCAGACAGCTCCTGCGGGAGCCCAGGAATCCCGGCCGCACCCGCTGATCTCAGCGCTCCCGGGAAGTGCTCTGGCACCGCCGCGGTCCCCGGGGGCTTCGCACCTCCGAGGGCCGGGGATGCTGCGCACCCGGCACTGCTCTGAAGCAGCACAGGGAGGGCACGGCTCTGACTCCTGCCCTGTCCCTGCTGCTCGTTCATCCACCAGCACTGAGCTCCAGGAGGCTCCTTAAGGCAGCGCAAGCGGAGACTTCGCCCTCCGAGCACCCGAGCACCACCACGGCAAACGAGGGATTCGCATCCCACGTCCCCAGCTCGATCCCCCGGTTAAGGGCTGGCCCCGTCCCACCCCCGCAGCCGTTTTGCAACGCCGGCTTTTCCTGCCCGAAGGGGTTTTCCAGCCATCCCCGGGCTCTGCCGTGGGAAAGGGCCCACGGGCTGCCCCGAAGAGCCCGGCAGAGCTCCCCCCCGAGCACCGAGGCTGGGGCTCCACGCCCCCCGTACCCCTTCCCCCAGCCCAAGCAGGCAGGAGAGGCTCAGCCTTCCTTTTATAATACTCTTTTATTTGATTAAAGAATTTGTATTCTTTGTATACACTGGAATGTGCTCTATTCCCTAGGCCATTATTGTACAGGGTTACAAAAACGGGGGGGGTGGGGTGCGGTTCTTCTTTAACGTTACCCTTAAACAAATTTAAGAAAAATGCTTCCTTGATGTTTGAACTCGACTCCATTTTAAAATCATACAGACAAGCAACTCTTGAACAGAACTGAATTAATAGGATTCGTTGTCTATTTCACTACAGAACAGGGTTTGCTTTCCCTCCCCCAGAACACATCACCTTCCCAGGGCAAGAATCAGGGTTTATTTCCTCACTGGCGCTGTTACCGGAGGAGAGACCGCTAACTTCTTTGGCAGAGGGCCCCACGGGAACCAACACACGCTTACTCTGACTGAAGCGCGCTCTCTGGAGCACGGTAAACGTGTTTTTAGGACTTGTGAGGACAGGACACCGTTAGAGTTTCACCTGCACGCTCAGCCCTTCCCTACAGCAGCAGCCGGGGAGCTCCCCTGCAGCCCTCAGGCTGTTGGGGCAGCAGCACTGCCAGCCAGGGCATGAGCAGCCCCAAAGCAAGCAGGCTGGGCATACTCTGAGGGGAGCACAGCTCTGTGGGATGAAATCAGTGATCCTACTCAGGCAGTCAGAGGAGGAACAGCGCTGGGATAGCAAGCACTACAGCTGGGTGTTGCTCATGCTCAGCATGCTCTCTGGAAACCACCATTCCCCTCCCCTCCATCACCACGCTGAGACCACCGGTTTCGGAGAGATCCCAGTCCCACTCCCACTCTGACTCAGCCTCAAGGAAAAAGGCCCGAAGGACTTCTGGTGAGCCCAGGATGAAGTCCACTGCTGTATGGTGGGGCTGGGTGGACAGCAAGGGACAGTGTGGGGGCAAAGAGAACTGAGCTGTGAGGCCCTCTTCCCCTACGCTCCTGTCAGTACCCCACCTTCGAAACCGAGATCAACTTGTTCCACTTGTACCAGATGGAAAGGTCCAGAGAAGCACTGCATCCTTGTGTGTTATCATCTTAACGCCTGTTTTCACCATCAGAAGCAAGAGTTGAAGGCTGAGGAGAAATTAAAATGGCAGCACCACCAATGGAACAGTGTTTGATGATTAAAAAAGGAAGAGCGTGATGTCTGGTAGGCTCTGGGACTGAGCTCCGGTCGTCTTCATGGGAGAATGGGAAGTGTCAAAGCCAGGTTCTCTGCAGAGATCTCGTTATTCTGCTAGCCAGTAAAAATCTGCCAAAGAAATTTGTAGCCTTTCCCCCCATGAACATGTCAATTCTCTGCCAAAAATGTCTGTGACCCAGGACACTGCAGATGGCAGGCAGAGCCGTGTGTCTTAGCAGAGAGAGGGCTGCGGCATTCCAAACATTCAGAATAAACTTCGGCCTCTTTTTTTTTTTTTAATTTAAAACTTTCCTTTGTGATTCCCCACAGCTGGCATTACAGGATTTCGTACTTGTCCACCACGAAGGTGGTTTCAGTAGAAAACCTTACAGGGCTGTTCCCATCTACCTGGGTCACTTTGGTAACCTGTGGAGATAACACACATTCAGTAGAGCATTTAACACCACTTCCCAACACAGCTTCCCAACTCTGACCATCTCAAAGAGGACAGAACCAACCCAGCACTTCTGAACACATCAGTACTATAAGAAAGATCTGAAAGATCTTAAAGATCTTTGTCCTGCGCCACAAATACAGCCAGACAGTCTAAGGGAAGCTACAACACAGTCTGCCAGTATCCCCAGTAAGTGTAGCTCTACGCTGTGACCGTACCTGTATGTTGCAATAGTTCTTTTTGGAGATGAAGGAGACTTGCACTGGGAAGAAGTCATTTGGCTGCCCTGCTATGCTGAACTCCAGGCTGCCACTCTTGTTTTTGGCATCTATCACAGGCAGGCACCACTCCAGGAGATTTCTCCGGCTGTCATGGCGATACTCGCCATCTATTTCCCCAATCACTGGGGCACCGACACCAGACCTACAGCAGGCAAAAAAGAGCTACGATGCCTTACTCGCACAGGGCTAAGGAAGTGAACAAACCCGAAAGGCAAAGGAGCTGACAATATACCAAGGCACCTGTTAGCATTGCCCAGGCACGGAATGTTACTTACGGTAAAGGGATTGTGATGATCACATCGTTCAGTTCTAGGCTCTCCTCTTGCAACTCGTATTCAATGTTAACATCGCAACTGTTCCCACTTTCTGATGGCCAGCAGTTAACTGAGGGCAGAAAACCAGTATGCTGTACCACACAATCTTTCTGTGCAGAACAGGCTTGCAAAAGATGATGTACTTCAAAAAGCACCGTAAAATCATAACCTCATAACCAAGAAATTCCAACTTAAAGAAAAGCTTTTTGTTTTCTTTAAGAACGTTACCGAAAATGGTCACTGGTAAGAACAGGTACTGCCCGATGGAAGACACGCAGATGTCTTCACCCCCTCACCCAGCACCTCGCAATGTACCACGCTGTGGAGCCAGCCCAGCTGCTACAAGGCAGGGTATGAAGCAGGCACAGACGAACATCAGCCCCTTCCAACCAAGCTCCTGCACGTCACGCACACCCTTGCACTCACTTGTCAATGGAATGAAGGACTCTTCCGTGGTCTGCAACCTCCACTTCAGCACGCCCACATCACTGTTAATAGGGAATGATTTCTCTGGGTTCTTCAAACCAATCTGCGATTCTGCAGTAAAAAGCTTTTTGTCCACATTTGGGTGAGTCTGAAACAGGAACAGAAGCCAAGGCTGTGTCAGCTACTGCAGCCATTTCAAGTATGAGATGACAACCACATGTAGGCAATTCAGGTTCTAGTATGACAGCCCTACACATCCCCGAGTACTTTCCTCTGCAAAACGTACCTTGCTGAGCAGTCTGGCTACAGCACATCTACTTATCAGCCTGGAATACTGTCCAGGCTGATCCACCAGGAAGAATCCACCCCACTAGCATTTTTACTTGCCACTGCACCAGATCCTCCAGCAAGTCCTGGTATCTGGGGCAGCATCCTGGAGCTTACAGAACAACAACTCTAAAAAAAAATCTTAATTTGAAAAATTTTCATTTTTCTCGAGGAAGAAATAGCCTCCTAAAGCATTTCAGCCTCGTGCTGTTGGAAAGAACGCTATCAAAACACAAAAATACTACTTCCATCAGCCACCTTTGTGTAAATATATATATATGGCAGCAGCCAAACTCAATGCAAATATTCTCTCATTGCAATGGCAAATGGGAGCATCTTTTTAAAAGCAAAGAATTTTTCTAAGTTAATATTCAAGTTACACTGGAAAGACAGGAGTCAACACTGGGTTTGATTTAGTCTTTCAACTCAAGCAGCACATGTGGGAGCATTGTTCAACTTTTTAATGAGATGTGTCGCTAAGGAACCTACTACTGGATAAGTAGACATGCAGACAGACAACTATAGATAAGCTCTTAGCAACGAGGAGAAGGGAGCAATAGAGTGTATCAAAACACCAAAACCTCCAGCACTGAAGAAGGTAACAACAATACAGAGGACAAAAAGGAAAGATGTTTCTCCAAGAATCTTCTTATAGTGCTGACCATAACCCAGGGCTTCAGCAATTGTGCCAGATACAGCAATGGAAGGACACAAGTGACCCAAGAAGAAATAACTTTCTAGATAACAAATTTTCTTCATTGGCACAGTAACTTGACTGTAGAACTCCTGTTCAACTACAGCTCAAATCAAGTAATAAGCACCAAGCAATGCATCAGGCTGCTGCAAAGTTCACGTGGAATCAGATGGCATGCCAACATGCTTCACTGGACAGATAAGGCTCTGAAGGCAGGAGGATAAGCGTAGGAGACCAGATCTCCCGAGTGAACTTCAAACTTTTGACCGTGAGCTAGCCCTGTATTTATGCTACAGTCATGTCTCGTGTGACTACTTCCATTTTCAACATGTTTGCTGAAAAGGCTTAGACAATACTTTGCCCCAGAGAACAGCAAAAGGATGTTCGACAGCACGAACACCAAACACTTTACCTGTAACTGCACTCCCCTCTTGTCTTCATTTTCTACGTGCAGGCGAATCCGTGCAAATTTTTCATCAGAGATGTGCAGCATGATCATGCCATGCAGCTCCATATTCTGCAACCCTCCGTCACGGCCACAAGTCAAGGAAATTTTCTCCTCTATTTTCATGTGCACACTGGACACAAAAAACAAGTATCTCAAGTCCTACACTTGGCATCTAACAGGCAAGGTGAAAAATTAGTGTTCGGCCAGGAGAGGCTATATGCAACGAGCAGGTGCTACAACGAGAGTGAGGGTCCCAAACAGAATGACACTGGACAGCATAACAGATGCATGCACTAATGATGCTCCAACACGTTAACTCAGGGGCACAAAGATCTATGGATACAAGTCCAAAAACACAGAAACCCACATGATAAACAGTGATACAGCATCTCAAGATGCTGTTCACTCAAAATCCCGCTACCGTACAGCAGCACAGCTCAGCAGAAAAAGGTTCTGATCTGCTACATGTAAAACAAACTATTTGTGTTGGGGTCACAGGAAAAATGGCAGCTACTTTAACTCGTTTGAAGGCAAAATGCTGCAAAGAGACGCATTCCAGAAGGCACAGGAGAATTCCCAATCTCAGCTAAACAGAGGAGGCACATCCATTTTAGCTAAGACAATTTCTAATCAAATAAGCTATCTTTTGTTGCTGTGCTTTCCCAGATTTTACCCTTCATCTTTCAAAATCGGAAGGCTAGATGAGCACACTGGCCTTCAACGGCAGGAAAAAGCCTGTGCTGAAAACTAAAGAGGAAGACAGCTCACAAAGCAACACGTGGATCAGAGAGGATAGTACGAAGACTGCTTCCAGAGCAAGGATAATACCTACCTCTCCATGTTAATGGGCGGTGCAAGAACTTTGGCTGCTTCTGTAGAGCGTTTGCCTACGGAAGTCATGATATTTTCTCCTTCTGATTTCAGTTTGTCCACGAAGTTATCCACCTCCTTCCCTTTAGCGCCAAGTTTCAGAGCTTTGCTAGGACCTGAAGGCCTAAACACAACGCACAGACATATTCAAGTCACATTCATGGCAACAGTTTCATTCTTCCTCAGTCCCATCTTCAAGTGCTGTAACTTGACTATCCCAACAATTTAATATTCACCTTTTTTGGGGGGGAGAACAAGTACAGAAGAGAAGATCTTACAAGAAGGATGAAACATTACAGTTTAGATACAGATTCTGAGTATTGCCTGGTACCACTCTTCACACAAAATGAGGAGTCCAATACCCATCAAAGACCCTACTACGAGGCCTGGAGACTACGGGATGCTCAGGTACCACTGTGATACACAGCACAAATGCTCTTAAATAGTAAAATATACGGTCCGCAATATATACAACATGCACCACTTTAAAGGCTTTGAGGTCAGCAGACACAGATCAGAGAAGCTAAGGAGAGAGGCCTGACTTTCTCTGTCTTTGCAGTAACCCAAAGGAGTGGAGGCACACCACCTGTCATTTTGAACATCTGCTGCCTACTGCACACTCACCTGGAAGGCGCTGGTGCCACTTTGGGCTTCTCCGTTTCAATGATGGTTTCTGTGATCATTGCTGCCGTTGTGCCCCCAGACACAGCTGAACTGCCAAAGCCACCAAAACCGGGTGCCTTTTTGCCCTGTCTCTCGGCATCCCTTCTAGCCTGCTGCAATTCCTTCGCTTTACGGCGCATCTCAGCTTTTGCTTCACGTTCCTGAGTCTGAAGTAAAAGACAAAAGGCTGGTAAAGGCTTTGCAACCTCAATCTTACTCTGTATAGCAACTAATACGAAGTATGACTTCTTATCAACCTTTTTTTTGAAGGAACGGGAAACGGGCATTTAGTTTACAGAAAAGCTAAATAATTTTAAAACCCTGATCAAATTGGAGTAACGTCTTCACATAAAAAGCGTCGCGTTCCAGAGTACCTCGTGCCAAACTCAAAATTATTTCCACTCACCTCTCGGACGGCTCGGAACACCTTTTCTTCATGCGAGTCCATCTCAGTGAAGGTCCGAATTTGTGCCAGGTTTACGTTCTCACGGTAGCCCAGGGCAACGATTTCATCAAAGGCAAAAATCAGGTCAAAACAGTGTTCAGAGATCTCATTCTCCTCCAAGGCTCGACAATATTCAGGGATCTAATTCAGGAAAAACATTTAAAAGGAACATTCATATAAACAGACAGACATAACTTCCAGCACTGTCTTTCTGCTGTTCCCAGACTTCACAGTTGTGCTAGACCCTCCGCAGAACTAGCACATCACTGAGCTGCCTTTCATTCCTTTACACTGTTGATAAACAACAAGATGAGGTTTTGCGATTGTCAGTTTCTCCTCAACTAAAATATTTATGCAATCTTTTAACTTAGTTCTAACTTTGTAACTCACAAGAACATAAACAAGCAAACACTAGTTAACTTTCAAAGATCCTTTGGTTGCATCTGACAGAAATAGATTATAAAGTTAATATAGTGACAATTACAAAAACTCATTACTTAGAAATGTATTTAGAGTACTGCTACGCTTCTCAAGCGCGTTCTGTAAAGCCACAGTATGTTTAGAGAAAAATAAAATTGTTATCTAAAGAATACAGCAAATGTTTTACATTAAATTTGTAACTTCATCCCTTTGGTCTCACCAGTTAACGGGCAGCCATGGGTTTCTTACATACAGTTCAAGAACACTGCAGAAACTTCAAAGCTTAACTGTGCCCTGGATCAAGAGCAGGCTCTAGAAAATCATGGTGGTAGCTGGAGGCAGACGGTACTTCAGCAAGAGCTCACCAACAGCTTCCCTTACAATAGCTCTGTTTTAGGCTACAGACGTGAACTTTGCAGTGAGTAACCCAAAGCGTAGATCCTTACCACTCTAGAGAAAAGTCGGAGTGTTTCCAGGTCTTCCAGGATATTGCTGTTTTTGGTGGTGATCAGCACCATGTAGAGCTTCTCCATCGGCTGATACACGTACCGCACGCTCTCTGTCTCCACAAAGGTGTGCTGCTTCCCGGTGTTCATCAGTTTTGGGAAAGCCGCCAGCAGCCCCTCGATGCGGGTCCGGGTCATCTCCACGAACTGCCGCGAGACAATGGCCTTCCCCGCCTTCGTGCAGACGGCGGCTGCCAACAGCACCTGTGGAGAACACAGACGGGGGTTCGCTGTGCCAGTCCTGGACACTGCCCGGCCCCTGCAAGCCTGACACAGCATCATAGGTGCAAAGAAAGGTAAGATCTAGCTGGCAGTGATCTTCCACATTGAACTGATTTTCCTGCACTGGGACCTTTTGTGTCTTTCTATGACTAGCGCCAAGAATTTACCTATTCTAATAGCACATCCACCTCGGCTTTTCTCTGCAGATAAGCTGCAGCCTGCTTTCTCCTTCTGTGCTATATGGAATCAAAGCTCTCGGTCCTCCAGTCAGGCAGACAGGATCAACCAACTCATTGCTCTATACACAGCGCATGACAAAACCCCAAAAGTGCTTTAGGCAAGGTCTAGGTTACAGCATTTTCTGTTAGCTCAGACCCACCATAAAACTTACACTGAATCCCAGAATGCTTTCACGTGTGACATTCCTTCCCGATGCCACGTTTACAGCCAAGACAGGTTAATAAAACCTTGAGAGCTGTATTAATTACAGCACACGGATGACTCTCGTGGGCATTTCACAGATGCTATCGTACCAACAATAAAAAGGCAATAGGGCGACTGCTAATTTACTTTTTCTTATTTTCTCTACCTAGACTCCTTCCTGAAACTCTTCTCAAGGATTAGTTTCTTAATTAACTGTGCCAAGGTAGGACAGTTTCTGCAGCTGAAATCTTGGAGCTCCCCAGCCGTTTTCATTCACAGTACTCCAACAGCGAGAGAAGCACCGGCAACTCCCAGCCGCAGGTGGATTTCCAGCACCACTTCGAACCCAGCCAACAGGCGGCCGAGCAGTGCAGCCAGGCACCCTGGCAGAACTCTGCGTGTTGCCTGCACAGCCCTAGGCCCCTGCAGCTTGACAGCTCAGGGACAAACAGATCTGTAAGAAAAGCGCCCAGAAATCCACCTCCTCTTTCTGAAACCCCTCCACACGTTACCGGGGGCACCGCCTCACCGCAGATAACGCCCCGAGCCCCAAAACCACCTCAGCAGGACAAAGGCGGCGGCCGCGGGCTCCCTGTACCGGGACAGGACCCCGAGGAGGGCCTCGCAGCCCCCGAGGGCAACTCCCAATCGCTCCAGCGGCAGGACGAGCCCCCCGCCACCCGGCCCCGGCCCCCGGGCCGCTGAGGGGGCAGCGGGAGCCCCGCGGCCCCGTCAGGCACCACCCGGGGCCCGGGGCAGGCCGCGCTGCCTGGCGGGCGGCGCCGAGCTCCGGGCCGGGCCCCGCACACCAATGAAGGCTCCGGGCACGACCAGGAGGCGACCCCCGAGCACTGCGGGGAGCGTTGGGGCTCGCCCTTACCATGGCGGCGGCGGCGCTGGGCTCGGCGCTCGCTCCCTCGGCGCTCGGCGTCCCCTCAGGCAGCCCCACAAGATGGCGGCGCCGAGCCACGTCCCCAGCCGGAAGCGGCGCGGGCGGGGCGGGGCGGGGCGGGGCGGGGCTGGAGGACCGGGAGCGCGGCCCCGCCGCAGGGAGCTGCGGGCGCCCGCCTGCAATTCCCACCGCAGCCTGCAGGGGGCGCTGTGAGGGGCGCTGTGGGGGCGCTCTAGGCGGCTGGCGACCAGCGAGGTTGTTGCCATGGCGACGGCGGGGGGCGCCTCAGTAGGGCGGCGGGCAGCGGCGGCGGCGGGGGGCAGCGGGGCCGGGCCGCGCTCCGCCGCCCAGCACCGGGTGCTGGAGAACCGGCCGTACGACGAGAGCCTCGAGCTGCCCGCGAGCGATGAAGCCGGCAGCCCCAGCCCCCCGAGGGGCTCGGCCGGAGGTGGCCCGGACGGTGAGGTAGGCGCGGGGGCGGCCCGGTAAGGCCCCGGCCCTGTGGGGGCGGCCCGGTGAAGGCCTCGTCCCTCCGGCCCCACAGGACGCGGCGGCACCGCCCGGCCTCAGCGAGGATGAGGAGGACTCGGAGGAGTCCTCAGGGAGCGACTCGGAGGACGATTCGGAGGAGCACGGAGCCCCCCCGGATGGGTGAGCCTAAAATTGAATAAATCGGAATAAATCACTCGGAGGGGTGAGGCTAAAACCGAATAAATCCCGGTCCTGCCGAGCCCCGTTATGCTGGGGAGGCAACGGGGGCGGCTGAGAGGAGCCCCGCAGCCCCGCTTGTACAAAACCCCTCCAAATTAATCTTTGCCTGAACGTCTCTTCTCCCTTTAGTGACTACAACCTAGCCGAGTATGACTACCTGCAAGTATCGCCCGAAATTAAGGAACTCTTCGAGTACATCAGGAGGTGAGGTGAAGGAGTCGGAGCTGGCTCTTGGCTCTCCTTTGTGCCAAGGGTAAGTGCGGCAGGAAATGTGTCGCCCACTGTGTAACACTTCTTGTTTTTTCCTTCAGGTACACTCCAAAAATGATAAACATTGAGCACAAGCTGCTGCCTTTTATTCCAGACTTTATTCCTGCTGTTGGAGACATCGATGCGTTCCTCAAGGTACGGTATTTTCAGGTACCTCCTGCCACACCAGCTGAAACCCAAGGTAACGGGCTGTGCAGCCAAGAGCTCAGCCACATCGTCCTTGCAGCAGCGAGGGATCCTCGCCCTGCGCTGCAGGACAGACTGTTATAGACACCTAGGAGATGACACTTAGTGACACTGGGAACTGGCTGGTCACTTTGCTGACCCCCCACATGGTATATATGTAATGTAAGGTGAGATCTGCCTTCTTTGGGCGACACGTTGTACATTTCAGGTACCACTGTGCTAACAACTCCAATTTTCTCTTCTGTCAGAGCAGCGTGCCTACCAGTTCCTTTTAGAGTCTGAATTTTAAACCATGGGGAGGCTCTTTACAAAACAGCTCCAGCATCCCCTGCTCTGGGCTCCCATGGGGAATACATTCTGTGTTTACCTACAGGTCCCACGTCCAGATGGCAAGCCTGATAACCTCGGCTTACTGGTCCTCGATGAGCCGTCAACGAAGCAGTCAGATCCCACAGTGCTTTCTCTTTGGCTAACAGAGAATTCCAAACAGCACAACATCACAGTGAGTCATGGAGAGACAGGGGATGTTTACCGCTCACTGGCTAGAGCAAAATCGGTGCACTTTACTCTTACTTTTGTAACATATATATATTTTTCTTTTGGTTGTCACTACCTGGTTTTACTCAGTGTTTTGTTTCCCAGCTGCTTTTCTGTCTGCAGAAATCAGTTGGTGTAGTGCAACTAGGAAAAAGAAGAGATGGTTAATCAGGGGCAAACACAGGGTTTGCGAAAATAAAATAATAATAATAATAAAAAAACACCCACAAAGTACTTCCAGATTTATATTTTTGTTTCTAGCAGCAGATAAAAGTGAAGAGTGTGGAAAATGCAGAAAAGAACCCCAAAGCCATTGACAGCTGGATTGAAAGTATCAGCGAACTGCACCGCTGCAAACCTCCGGCCACTGTCCACTACACCCGGTGAGCCATTTTATCAGCAGACCTGCAGGTCAGTGGGAGGCTGGTGGCAAAATCAAAGGGTACTGAGCAGAACTACCGAGATGTCTCTAAGAGGAGAAGACATGCTGAGTTTCAGGGTAGTCATATCATGCACGTCTGCAAGACACTCACTTTCCTTCTTGGTACTTCTCTTTCCCTACACAGTAGGGAAACTTCAAGTAGCTTACAGCTATCACTCACCACTTTCAATTCCTTGCAAGCAGTAACTCTGTAAAAGGAGAAATTCTGAACAAGTCAGGGGAGGCGAGACTTACTCTGACCAAGTACTGATTTGGGTCTCAGCCGCTGTGGCACCCTCTTCTGCCCAGACTCCCAGTTCAGAACAGCCCAGTCACTAAAGGAAGCAGTGTTGCCAGCATCTTCCTTCAGCCATAGTGCTAAGCACAAATTTAAAGCTTAACCTTGTTTTAATGAATAAAAATGTCCAAACTGGCACTTCAAGTGGAGTCTGTCTCATTCAGAGCAATCTGGCAGTAGGAAGCCATTTCAGTTTCTTGCATGTAATCTTAATTTTCTGTTTTGTTTTTTTTTTCCTTACCTTGCAGGCCCATGCCTGACATAGAGACCCTAATGCAGGAGTGGTCACCAGAATTTGAGGAGCTCTTGGGAAAGGTATGATACACAAGCAGCAGATAAAAGTCGAGGAGTGTGGAAGTGCTAGGTCCAAGATTAGCACATGCTCTCAGGCCCTTGCTATTTGAGAACATGAACTAACACCCCCTTCTATTCCAGGTGGGCCTCCCAACTGCAGAGATGAACTGTGACCTGGCTGAATACGTTGACATGATATGTGGTAAGCAGAGGGGAAGTAAGACCCTTTCTTACCCTCACTTAAAGGCAGCTGATTAGTCCTAGCCCAGGAACTGCCAACAAATGGAAACATTCAACTTTGACAGACACAGAGGTAACAACATTATCTTAGGCTGCTCCAAAGAGGACATTCTGTCTGTCTGTTAACTCCTCCTTCTTCCATGAGCTTGGGTTTTGTCTGCTCTGCTCAGCCGGCTGATGGGATTGAGCAGTTACCTCTCTTCTCTTCCAAGAGCCTAGGCAGCACTCTGTGCAGGGTGGTGTAGTCTGTTTGCTCTCATGCACTTCTGCTCTTCTTTTAGCCATTCTGGACATCCCCGTGTACAAGAGTCGGATCCAGCCTCTGCATTTGCTTTTCTCGCTCTACTCAGAGTTCAAGAACTCGCAGGTAAGCAACCCCAGCCAGGCATTGGTCACTCAGCTGGAAGCATTACAAAGCTTGTGCCCTTAAAGTTGGTCTTGCTGTTGTGTGTTTGTGACGAGCTAGTAGACTATCCTAAAAGAGTCCAAAGAACATTTTCTAAGCTTTGCATTTCCCTAGTAGCTCAGACTACTGAGCACAGACAGCATGGTTAGAGCAGGGCTTGCGTGAGCCTCTGGCTTGCTGCTGAGCACACAGCTCACACGGTGCTAAAGTGGCTTGTGGTTTCAGCTACACCCATGCTCTAATTAACGAGTCTCATCTTTGCACTAACGCATTCTTTCTCCTGCAGCATTTCAAGCCTATGGCTGAAGGGAAGAAGGCCAGGAGCTCCCCGTCCAACACACCTTCACAAGGAGCAGAAGTGGAAGTATTGAGCTTCACTTGAAGCTTTGCGTTAAACCTTCATCTCTCCGATCAAGATCTGCTGCTCAACATAAAGATTTGACCAAAGCAACGCGTGAAGCAACGCAACATTTCAGAAGCATCCCTTATTTTATAGATCCTGCAGAGCTGCTTTGCATTCATAGAGTAGATTTTGAGTCTTCACGTTTATAGCAGATGCTAATACCTTAATTTTGAGTTGTCTCCATGGAGTACAGCATTAAACTCTATTCCAAATGACAAACTGTGGATGCTGCAGAACTGAGGCTTGCAGAGTGTAACACTGCAGCATGTAGGAATAAATTCCATGCTCTGACACAAAACTTGGATCTACCCCGTGCGTTCCAAGGTCTGATGCGCGCTGGGGGTCTTGAGTCTCCTCTTCCCTTTACTATAGAGCCACTTTTTCTGTTCTCCGTGCCCTTTGCTGCTGCCAGCAGTGTCATTGCTTCCTTTCTGCTGCTTGTGCGGAAGGAATTGAAGAAAACCAGAGGAGCCCATGGGTGGGGGTGCTCTTTGCTTACCTCTCACTGCGTGCAGATGATGGAGGGGGTGAAACAGGGTGTGTTTGCCAGGGACCCCAGGTGGGTGACAAGCCAATGAGGTCAGTACATAAAAATTTAGAGGAGTTTGTACATTTGTTGCTCCCACTGGCTGTCTTAATGGAGTTCAGCAAAGAAAAAGAGGAGAAATAACCAGTGCAGCACCACACAGACACTTAAGTTGAGTTTATTGCTGTTGGGATGACTCCGCTCAGCCCCTGCCATGCTGGCTGCCCTCACCTGTCCCCGATCCAGCAGGGATGGACAGGTTTGTAAAGCAAGCAGGCCCTGAGTCTGCTAAATGAAGGCCAGTGCCTGGCCTTACTCGGGGAGGAATCACAGCACGAGCAGCTTGACAGAATCTTTTTAAAAAGCTTTGATGCATTTTGCTTGTAACAGTTAGGTAAAAACATGCCGTTCCCTTTGCAGGGAGCCACATCGGCTCCTCCCGGGTCAGAGCCCGGAGCACAGGTCCTGCTGCAGCACGTCCTGGCCTGGTGACAACACACAAGGAGCCCTCGTGGTTCTGTTTCTCACCGTGTTTCTTCCACAGCAGTGGCACCATGGGGCAGGAGCACCCTGCGTGCAGCCGGCATTTCCAGGCTGTCCTGCTCTCGGGTGCCTTTCCCTGTCCCTGTCCCCAGCCTTGGGGGACAGCTGCCAGCTGGCTGTGCCCAGCCCATGCCCATTGTCCCAGGGTGGCACCTGGTACTTAGCATGTCAAGCCTGAGGTTTGCTGGGCAACGAAGCCCCAACAGCAGGGCAAAACACCTTGCACTGGATGTCAGCTACCTGCCAATAGCCAGAACATTCAGGATCTGGTATTCAAAGGAGTCCTCGAAGGTCTGAGGGCAGCCAAACATCCCAGGCTGGATGGGACTGAGCTCTGCAGGGCCCCTTCCGTGCCCACTGCCCTCACCCTCGGACATTTCCCCACCTTGCTCCCCGGCCCAGTCTCACCAGTGCTGGGCTGCTTGGTGGGGCCTCCACGAGCGCTGAGGCAGCTGCCAGAAGACGAGCGAGGCAGACGGGGTGGTTTCGAAGCATTGTGGTGGTGCTTTTTCCTCCCTGGAGCACAGGCGCTGATCACAGGGGGAGCTGGGGGCTTGCTGGGGTCCTGGGGAGGCTCAGCCCGTCGTGATGCACCTCACAGCCAGATCTCATCACTGCTCATACTGGGGACTTTGTAGATTCTCCAGGCCATCGGGAATGGGACCAAACCTGCAGGACAGAAAGAGCTCATGGCCACCACCTTCCCCGGCAGCCACAGAGCCCAGTGTCTCCGCAGCACGGCTTTCTCGGGCTGCTCACCCGTCTGCGCTCCCTCACTGAGCACAAGGGGGGTCTGCAGGGTCCGCTGCCCTCCCTTGGCTTCCACATCCCCAGGGTCGGCTGCGGGAGAAGAAAGGGGACGGAGCAGGAGCTTCTCAGCCCAGGTGGGGTCCAGGTGCCTCGCTGCTTTACCTCTGTCCTCCTGCGTGAGCTCTCCAAGGCGCAGGTTAGGCGGCAGGGACCTGTTCTCCCGGGGCAGGCACGTGTTTGGGGTCTGCGTGTGCTCGGTCCTGCTGTGACGGGGGTGCCGGCTGAGCAGGCTGTGGCACCGTTCCCACACGAAGCTCGCTCCCAGCCAGCGCAGGGGATGCTGCGAAACGAGGCACTTCTTGCTCCGAGGGGAGGCAGGGAAACCAGGGCTTACCTGGGAGGCAGCGACGCAGATCCAGGGAGTCCTGCGGGAGGGAGGGGGTCAGGGAGCAGCCGCATCCAGGGCTCCTGGACCCTGCGGGGGCTGAGCTGCGGGCCCCCACCACCTCCCTGCCCCAGGGCTCCCTCCTGCTTGGCTCTTACCTGGTGCTGGCTTGGCTCGGCGGCACGCCAGGCAGGCAGCGAGGGAGCCCAAGCCAAGCAGGGCGCTCAGGGCCAGGGCTGAGCCCACAGCAACGCCCAGGAGGGGCAGCTCCACGTGGGCATCCAGCAAACCTGCGTGAGCAGCGTGGCTCCCTCAGTACCCCTGGGTTGCCCTGAGCTCTGGCACCAACCCCTGCGGCACCTACCTGGAGGCAGGAGGGAGGCAGTGGTGACGCCCAGGCTGTTGGCAGCACTGACTGAGAGGTTGGTGGCTGCGCTGCCGAGGTGCACGTGGAGAGAGTGGTTGGCCAGGCCGGGGTAGTGCTTGGTGTCCAGGAGGAGGAATTCGGACGCGTTGGCCACCACGCGCCCATCCTGGTCCACCCAGGTGATGCTGGCCGGCGGGTTGGCTTGCACCAGCACAAAGAGCAGCAGGAGGAGCCCGGCGTCGTCCACCTCCTCGTAGCGGGCATCTGCACGCAGGATCTCTGGCTTATCTGGGCAGCAAACACAGGCAGTGAGGCAGGAGGGGGGCACAGCTGGGGCAGGGAGGCAGCTCCCCTGCTACTGCTGGGGCAGATCCATGGCCTGCTCTGCTCTGGGCACCCTCCCAGTGCCTCCAGCCGCTGGTGGCAGCAGGACCAGTGCCTCAGGCCTTACACTGCACGTCGAGGAGCACGGATGCGTTGGCGGTGGCACCGGAGGCCGGGTGGGTCACGGAGCAGTTGAGCTCGCGATCCGCACGCCGGGCGGTGATGGTGAGAGTGCTGCCGGCCGTGCCCGCTGCCGAGCAGTTTGCCTCCTGCCTCCGGCCATCGAGGTACCAGGTGAGCACGGAGCCGGGGGCTGCTCGGGGGGCCCGGCAGGTGAAGGCTCGCCTCTCCTCCTCCCGCAGCGTGCACGAGGCCAGCGGCCGCCCGTCGATGGTGGGGCCTGGCTCCCTCAGCCCTGCCGGAGCACCCAGAGCACATCAGAGCTGCGGGGGGGGCTCCCAGCACCCAGTGCTGTGCCAGACCCCACCAGGACCTCACCTGCCAGGCAGAGCACCGGGAAGCCGAGCAGCAGCAGCGGGGCGAGGGCAGCCCCTGGGCAGCCCCCGAGGCTCCCCATGGCAGCCGGCCGGGCTCGGTGCTAGGGGAGAGGCAGGAGGAGCAGGGCCACGGGCACATCCCCTGGCAGCCGGGCGTGCGGAGCGGCTGGAGGATGCAACCAGGCCGCCCCTGCCTGCAGCTCTGCTGCTGCTGCGCCCTGCCCGTCCTGCAGCGCGGCGCCTGGGCACGCAGGCGCGGTCGCGGCCCCGAGTGTCCCTGCTTCAGCTGCGCCTCTGAGCAGGGGCAGCTGCTGCGGCTGCGGGGTCACAGCCGCTGGAGGAGCAAGGGCCAAGCACCCCCCCGCCCCCAGCTCTTTGTTTTGAGGGGGGCTCAGCCCCCCTTTGGCCCAGCCTGGCGCTGAGCTGTGCAGGGAATTGGAGCCGGGTGTGACGCTGCAAGCACCAACAACGCCGCAGCCAGAGCCCTGCTGGGCAGACAGCGAGGTTTTATTTGGGGCGGAACAGAGCTGGGACAAAGCCGGAGCGCAGGAAGCTTTCCTCAGGGCACCCTGGGGTCAGACGGGCTGAGTGCTGCTGCCTCCACCAGGCTTCAAACCTCCTGGGGGCTCAGAGGCAGCAGGATGAAGGGGAGGGGGGCTCCGGCGGCTGCAGCCTCAGTCGCTGCCGGCGCTGTTGGGGTTGCGCAGCCGCCCCAGCATCTCACAGAGCATCTGGTTGCAGAGGGCCGAGTAGGGGTTGAGCAGCACCAGCTGCTGCCGGGCGAACGCGCTGCCCAGGCGGGCCGCACGCTGGAAGTCGCGCCGGGCGTCCTCATCGCGGGCCTGCAGCCGGCGGATCAGCCCCCGCTGCACGAAGCTCTGGCAGGCGGCGCGGCCGCAGCCCCTGGCCAGGCGGATGGCGGTGTCCAAGTCCCGCAGGGCACCTGGACAAGGGGAAAGGCGGCGGGGAGCTGGGGGAGTCCGGTGCTTTGCCCCAGTGCCTGGCCCCGTAGCCCTTACCTGCCACGTCCCCCTTGAGGCGCAGGGCCTGGGCACGGTTGTTGTATCCCGAGGCGCGCTCGGGGAGCAGGCGGATGGCCTCGTTGAAGCGTTCCAGGGCGGTGCTCACGTCTCCAGATTCAGCGGCAGAAACCCCCTGCAGCTCCAGGTCCCGGACCTGCTCCAGCAGCTCGGGCGCAGAAGTCTCCTCTGTGGCGTGACAAAGGCAGCATCCCTCATCCTGTGCTCCACAGAGGGCAGGCGCCAGCACCGGGGTTGTGGGCACCCGGTGCCCTGCTTGGTGCAGCCCCAGGACCTCCCCTCCATCCCCAGGTACCTGTCCCAGGTCCCCAAATCCAGCCCCAGGGATGCAGAGCAGACCCCAAACCACCCCTGGGTGGCAGCTCAGCAGGAAGGAGAGGGGCTGCTCCTCTGCTCATGGGAAGCAACCTGCAGGAACCTGGAGCTGCATCTGCCTCACCTTCCTCCTGGACGTCCTCCTCCTCCTCATCCAGTCCAGGGATGTCCCCAAACGGAGTGCTGGGGTTGAAAATGGTCTGCAGGACGGCTCTGTCGTTAGCGGTGGCCATGGTGCTGTGTGGGTGGCAGAGGCTGGAGGCCAGCTGCTGGCGGGTTAATGTTCACCCCGCTGGCACCGCGCGCCCATCCCCGTCCTATCCCAGCCCGGCCGCTGGGCTCCTCCACCCCCCAACCCAGCCAATTCCCCCCAGGGAGCAGCCGGGCTGCAGGCACTCTCTCTGCCATCCCCATCCTCCTCGGCGTGGTGGTGTTTTGCACCCCTCCTGACCCTGGCCGAGGGCTCTGGTCAAGCAGCTGGGGGCACGCGGGCAGAGCGCCGAAGCGCACAGGGGATGAGAAATAGGATCATTTAAACCAGGAGGACCAGCTTCCGACTCTCAGGAATAAACCAAGAGCAACCCTCTGCAGCAATAAACTTGACATGTTTATTAATTAAACTATCACTTAAATAAAAAAAAGTGCATAGAAAATAAACATGTTTAAAAACTCCTTTGTTTTTTGTTTTTTTGTTTTGTTTTTACAACTATGTACACTTTTTATTTTTACATTCAGTCTTTTGCAGAGCTTTCAGCATTTTTTTTAAACTATTAAAGTATTTCCTTCTTCCCTGTGACAGGGAGTTAACACTGATGTACTTTAGACACGTTTCCTCTTTTTTTTTTTTGTTTTTAAAAAGAAAAACAAAACAGAAGCTTGGAAGAACACAAGAAAAAAAAGATTTGTTATACATGATAAGTTGTCAAGAAGTGTATTTCTAGAACATAACCTTGCCTTTGCAGAGTTTTTTTTTTCTTTTTTTTTTTTTCTTTTTTGAAACAATTATTCACCTACCTGTATTTACTAAAGAGACTGTTAAGTTCAATAAAAGAAACACCACAAGTATAGTTCTTGGTTGATAGACAAAGCTACTGTACCTTGTTAAAAAGATACCAGGAAAGCACAGAGCACATTTTTCCCTATATGCAGGTGGTACCCCAACATTCATAACCAAAAAGAGAGGAAAAAAAGGAAAAAACCAAGTTGTACAAGTACTGACTGGTAACAATAAAGGTCAGGGGAGCCCTCGAGCTGCCCGTTCCCGGGCTCCTCGTTTTTTCCTCCCATTTTCCAGCTCTCAGAGCCAGGCCTGCTCGCTGCCTGGCACCGCCGAGGCCGCCTGGAAACGCACAGCCCGAGTTCTTCCCGCCTCCGTTAGCAACTGTAACACAATCCTTATCTATAGTGTTAAGAGAATTAAAAGCCATGGACCGATACTGAACTAGGCTTCATTACACGGTGCATTACTATATTAGTTCCTATATATATTGTATTTATAGTTATAAAAAAAACTTGCAAGTGTTGGATGTGGACCAGTAGTATGGGTTTGAATGGCATGATTCTGCACAAAGACCATCTCACTGAAGAACCTGGTATTGCTTTGAAATGAAAGAAAAACAACGAACAGAAAGATACCCAGCCCTTTGCAATGACCCGCTTTTCCTTTAAAAAAAAATCGGTTTGTACAAATAAAAAATAAACGCCCTAAGGTTCCATTTTTTTTTTTTTTTTTTTTTTTTTTTTTTTTTTTTTAGTATTTTCAGATATCATGATCTGTGTCAGTCCTTATAAAATATACATTCATAGACTGGGAAGCTGTGCTGTGCTCACCGTTAGCCCAGGCAGAACGGGGTGGAAGGGCACACGCAGGCAAGCATCTCACGGGTGACAGGACACGCACGCGCTGGCTGCCGAGGCCTCTCCCTGCCTTACTTCCATTCGCCCAAAAAAGAGAGTCAAACGCCTGCGCTCTGGCTGCGAGCGGGACAGGAGCGTGGGTGCCCTGGCCCGGCGGCACAGCTCAGCTTCTCTGGGTACAGACACTTTCACTGGCCACAGCGGCACCTGCCCAGGCAGCCGCCGCAGGTATAGCAGCAAAGCGAACAGCGAGCGGGGGCCCCACCGGGCCCGTCTGCTCCACCAGTCCTTGCAGGAGGGGATTTCTGGTGCCTGGCCCCGGGGCTGCTCCCGTGGCTTTCCCTCGGGTTCCCCAGCCCCCCATTTCCCAGTCTGGACGCCCTCCTGCTCGGCGCCTGCCCCCGCGGAGCGGCAGGGAGCTGCCGGCGGGGCACGCCGTGCCCCCCTCTTTCCGCACACGGTTCTCAGGTTTAACCACGGTGAGAGCTGTCCCCCAGCAATGCTGTCAAAACCAAGAAAGAAAAAGGACAAAGAGCAGCCGCGTCCGCGGAGGCAGGGCTGAGATCTCGCCCCCAGACGCGCTTTTTGGCCTTCTCAAGGTATGTGCGTTCCCAAACTGTCAGTGCATCAAATCGTTTCAGTAACAAATGCAGCTTCAATTTGACTCTTCTTTAAACAGTTATTACCAAATAATAATCACGCAGTGCAATAAAGAAAGGAAACCAGCAGTTCCTGACCCCGTGAGTGCTGTATTTCATTCCCAGGTCAGAGGAAGAGGTCTCGGGGCCTGAAGCGCACAGATAACGGAGTGCAAGCCTGCAAGCGTGGGGAGTTCAGTCAGTTCGGTCCATTTCCTACAAACTGCTCATGCAGTTTTGGGGTTGCCTTTCGATTTGGCAGCCCCCAAAACAGCTACTAACCTACCCACAGGGACAGTTTACAAAAGCAAGGGTGCTTCATGGTTTAACTGCTCCAAGGAACGATTGCTCTCGTCTCAAGAGAGACGCTGTGGGATCAGGAGCGCACGCGTGGGTGCGTGCCCCGCACCACCCCAGACGGCGGCGAGCCGAGGAGGGCCGGGGCCCTATTGCTTCGACAGATTTCCACAGGACCATGTTTCTGTGTCCAGAGAGCTGTGAATTTACCTAGAGAAGGAAGGTGCAGTCTTTCTCCAGGGGAGCTGCTCCGGACAAAGCAGTGATGAGCGGCACACTGACCCTCCGTGACGGGGACACGACCCGGGGACCGGAGCAGGACCTGCCCCTGGGCGCAGCGAGGGGCCCGTGCAGCTGACCTGGGCTGGGGATGCCCCTCACTGCCCCAGCCCCACACTCATCCAAGCCCCCCTTTAGGGAGAGCTGAGCTGAGTGGACACGGCAGGGTGGGAAATGCTCCCACAAATGCTAATCCTGAACGCCAAGCAGAAGAGGTGAAGTTACTAAGGGTCAGTTCTCTCTCTCTCTCTTTCCTGAAATACACACAGGACACTGGTGTGTGGCAAGGCAGAATCATGCCTCCATGTTCAGATACAGTTCCCATGAGTCAAACTCCTCCTAAGCTGGGCAATTCTTCCTCCTGCCCCTATCTTGACAAGAAAATAAAAGTTTAAGGTCCAGCCAAACCTCCTAGAAACAGTTACTGAAGTCAAAAAGGCAGAAGAAGATTAAAAAATAAAAATAAAGTGTACCCCTCTCTCTGGAGAAAGGATCAGACTGTGTCCAGCCAGGTATTTCCTATAACCGTCCTATGAAAATAAAAACAATATTAAAAACAGATTCTTTTAAATTAGGATAATACCACTGTTTAAAAAGCCTCGTCATAAGTGCTTTTACCTATGAAGTGCTTCTCATAGAAAAATATACAAAATATATTTACATTTATAAAACCTTAAATACTAAACTGTAAACAGAACAGAGTAAAATCCAATGTCTTAATTTGTTAGGCTTGGGGCTTTTTCTTTCCTTTTTTTTTTTTTCTTTTGAGGCGTGGAGCAGACCCAAAAGGGAGGAGGAATTACATTACTTTCACCAGGACAATAGTGTCTTCTGATTCACTTCAAATAAGCTCGATTCTTCAGCTACCACAATTTCAGCTGTGCCAATCGCTAATTGATTTATTCCTATGCATTTCTAAGTGCTGCACGGAGTACATGGGGCTGGTTAGTGTTTGGCCTTGCATTTTCAGAGAATTTACACTCCATTTTGGTGCCTCTTCCTGTGCCTTCCATAGCAGATTACGAAACCACACACCGAAGACGGGTCGCGACAGGCACGTGCCTAGAGAAGTCACTTGTTTGTCTCTACATCACACCCTAGGACGCTGCTCGAGGAGGCTGAGCAGAGCAGCTCCCGGGGAAGCGCCCTCAGAAGTCCCTCCTAGTTCTTGCTCTACAGCCACAAGCGGCCAACAGCAGAATCCGCTGCCACCACTGCTTCTCTCCCCTGAAGACGTTTGTCCCTTGGGGCAGCCCCACAGTAGCAGACACACCACTGTCGCCAGAGGAGCCTTTCAGTCCCTAGGTCAAAGGAGAAAGACAGCCTCTGACGACAGGAACATGGGAAAATGCTGCTTCCCTCCTACACTGCAGAGGGAGGGTGCTGCTGAAAGCAAGCGTTTGCTCACAAAGATTTACAGCTCTGAAACCAGTTGGCACAAGCCCTTTCTCTGCTAAAGAATGCCAGGAATTCCCCTGCACTCGGGCAGGAATTTCAGAGCGAAACACTATCCAAATCCTTCTCAGTTTACCTTCGGCTGCTATCTGATGCTCTCCCCCATTCAGTCTTCCTAGATTAAAACAGATAAGCCAGACCCACGCGGCGCAGCAGGCCACCTATGCCACACAGTACACCAACCAACTCACAAATAGTGTTTTGGAGATGCATAGCACAAGGAATCACAGACACGTACAAAGTTCTCAGAGTAGCTGGTTGGTGGGACACAGTTTCTCTCCCTAGGAGAAAAGAGCAGTCACATACTGTGCTTTCAAAACTTATGACACGACAGTCGAATGAAAACAAGAACTCCACATTCACCACTTTGAGCCAAGAGACAACAGAAGGACGGGATCCGTGAGGACTCCCCTATACCTGGGTCTGTCTACCCTCCCCTCTCCCACTCATTAGCCCCATTCTGACAAACAAATTCTGAGGGTTGGGGCAGGAACGACAATAGCAAAAACATAATCACACTGAGGATCTTCTCCAGTCGCCTGTGTCTTTCATAAGGGTAAGTGTGCGCATGCGAGACATGAAGATGTGGACTCTGACAGAGAAACACAGCCGCCAGTTAGGTCCCTGAGCCCAGCTGATCTTCATTCCTGCCTCCGTCCTTCCCTCTCCCTTGCGAATGGCAGGGTAGGGATTCACTAGAAGCTTTGGTTCGCCCCAGGCCCTTTAGGGCTCACTTGCAGGTCACGGAAGTTCTAGTTTAA